TAGAATATCTGGTAAGTGTGTATGTATGCTTGTTGTTACCTGAGTCACCATGACAGAATTGTTCAAAATTGTTGTGAAAGAACGATTAATTGTTTGGGATCTTTTGGGAAATCCCTGTCTGCTTTCTCGTAAGGATTACTTCATACACTTTTTTTTCAGTTTTTACCAGTGGCACTACTCCTTCTGTAGAATTTTACTCTTAGTTCCTCAGTTATTTTCCCAAATTTGGACCACAACATCAATTAAGTTTATTAACTGGAATTTAAATAAAAAAGCTCTAATGGAGAAATGTCAATTTAATGTTTTCTCCCAGATCAGCAGACTCACAGAGATCATTCTTGAGAGGGACACCAATGAACACTATAAATATTTCCGTGTTCCTTCAAAAGATAATCCAACTCGTCCTACTCTTCTGCATCTTGCTGCAGAGCAAAACTTCTTGCATGTTACCAAGTCATTAGTGGACCAGTACCCAGGTCTTATGTATCTTTGGACCAAAGAGCAAGATGATATGCCTAGTTATCTACCTGTTGAATTGGCCTTGAAAAAATACAAGGATGATACAGCTGCTTTTTTGGTGTCCCGCATGAGGCATGATCGGTAAGTTGTCTGTTTTTGTGTGGTGACCTACATTGATTTTCTTGACTGTGTTTGTTAACTTAAAAAATATAAAAAAAATAGCCTTATAGAGAGTTAAAGAAAAGTGGCTGAAGAATGGTAGAGAGATATCCATCTTACGGAGGTGTCTGTTAAGAGAAGGATGACTGCTTATGCAGACACGTGGGAAAAATGTAAGATTTATATGGATGGCTGAGGTGTACCGCAGGAACAAAATTTGTCTTTTATGACTGTCAGAGTTGAACAAAGGGAGGGAAAAAGAGGGGGAAAAAGGATCGAGTCGAGTCAATATGCTTTGAGTTTAATCCAGTGAGGTTAATGATATGCGTATTAAGGGGAAAGGAAAAGTTTTTTTTGTTTGTGCTTTACGATAAACAAGACAGATGATTAATAATAATTATGATAATGATAATTCTTTTCTGAGGTCTTAATAATATTAGATTATACCTGACATATTTTTTAGAAAGGAAACTACAGATTTTAATATTAATTAAAGGAATAAACTGTGCTAGCAGGCATCTAAATTAACTGTCAGGTTGTCAGGTCTTCTAGCCATCCAGCTAAGTTCAACATATTAGCAGAAGAAATGATCAAACAGTTATTAATCATTCTCAAATTCATTAATAATTCATTAAGAAAATACAAAGGAAATTAATGTTTAAAGAAATCGGATGAAACAAATGATCAGATGAAACACAGTTATTAATTTTCAACTCTCTTCTCGGTGTTTCATCTGGTGATGAAACACTGCATCTCATGTTTGATATATTACATCAAAAAGCACCACAACCACCCACCCACTTACCATCCACTACTCTATGCAAGAATTATAAACTGTAACTGAGATTATAAAATATGGTTTTAATAGCGCATTAGTCATAAAAAGGGACTGGCTGGCCATAAGGCAGTTTTCACCATAATAAAAAAAAGTTCAGCTTTTAAGCGATGTTCTGCTCTTGGTTCATGAAACAAACTTGTGCTCTAACCTTTTTGTGCATTTTCAGGGTTCAGAAACTGTTTCTCTGCAAGGAAGATGAAGAGCAGACTCCCATGAAGTTTTATTTTGGAGATTTCATCAGCTGCCATGACCCTCAATCAGGGGAACCTGTCATGAAGGTATAATGCATCAATAAATACATGTGTATGAAAGGGGCTCAGGTGTCACGGCTGCTCTCACAGTTCATTGAGTTAATTCATTAGGGAGCTTAAGCAAAGGCATTTTTGAGGGATGCACACCTGGGAGGAGGGGCACTTGGGTATTTTTTGGGTTGGTATGTGCCACCTGGGACTCCAAATTGGCACCCCGTTCTAAAACAAATTTCCCCTAAAATTGATACCCCATTCTAGAAATGGGCCAATTTTTTATACCCTGTTCTAGAATTCGCCCTAAAACTGATACCCCGTTCTAGAAATGGGCCAATTTTTTATACTCCGTTCTAGGGTGCAACAAGAGTACAACAGTTTGCTTGTAAATGCATTGAACTGTACAATTTCAAATGGCTGCTTACAAAACTGGAGCTTTCGTGCGTTCGAAATATTATACCCGGCTCTAGCAAAAACGCCTCTGAAATGGATACCCCGTTCTAAAGCAGTGGCTTCAAAATCACTACCCACATAGGTAATGTATGGGAGCACCCCCCCCCATGATGCATGTCAACCGGAAGTGAGGTCTTTTATAATTCAAAGCACCTTGACACTGCGAAAATTGTATTTGTAACTGTCTTTATTATTATAGAGACAATTTGTCCAAATTCGGGCAAAACCACTGTCTAAAAATGAAAAAAGACCACTTCCGATTGAAGTGCGTCGCTTAACCCTTTAAGTCCCAATAGTGACCAACATCAATTTTCTCCTAACAATATCCATACAATGTCAAGAGATTAGGTTATGAGAATTAATAAAATGATCACCTAAGAGAAAATGCTTTGAACTTTTATCAAATTCTTTCAACTCATTCTTTAAGGAAATGTATAGAGATCAGTTTGGAGAATTTGTACATGTATATTGTGGCTTAAAGGGTAAAAAAATGTCTTTGCTTATTAAGCTCACCAATATTCCCAATAATTTGTCTACATTTGGGAAAGAACTTAACTTAAGCGTGGAAAAAATGAAAAAAAAACTGTTGAAAAACTGTTAGACTAACACGTTTTTAAGAACCACAATTGGAATCCGTTTCAATCTTAACTTCAAGTTTGTCCATCTGTGACTTCTTTTGTTTGTGCCTTGTTATTTAAACCTTTTTTTAATGCTTTGAATGTGTTACTCAGTTTGGTGGTAATTCTCACTGTTTGAAGTTTGATAAATTTTGTGACAGCTCCTTTTCTTGTAAGTATCCGCCTTCATTCACCCTGGCTTTTTTGTAACTCATCTTTGTGCAAATTGCATCTACGATATAAACTACAATGCACAAGCATTTAGCAAGGTCTGTCATGTCATAAATTACCTTGTTTTCAATACGGGAAAGGAAATCTCATTAGTAGTTGTCAGGCATTGTTGCTAATATAAATTTATTGGTGTCAAAGTAGAAAACAGTGTTAGCAGTATTGGACAGATTCCATCTGCGATGTAAACTACAGTGAACAAGCATTTAGCAAGGTCTCTTATGTCAATTTAATACCACGTTTTCAATACAGGAAGCATCATTAGTATTTGTCAGGCATTCAGTTGTTGCTAATATAAATTCATTATGCCATTGTAGAAAACAGTGCTAGCAGTATTGGACAAGCATATAAGTCCCCGCTGGCCTTATCTCCCGGATAGAAAAGAAGATGATGAAAATGACGATGAAATTGAGCGAGCTATAAGCAGCGTCCCTGATGATCCCATTAACTATGATTTCTTTTACCACATACTGGAAGCTGATGACCAGGGAAGACAGCCTAAGATTGAAGTGGCAACAGAAGTGGATGAACATGGAAATGCACTCAAGATTGAAAGAATTCCTAATCCAAAATTTAACTCCAAGTCGCAGTCGTGTCTGAGGCGCATAGCAGAGAGCGGAAATAAGGTTTGTAAAATCAAGGAAAAACAAATGCGGCGCTTATTTGAGGGCGGCGAACAAAAATAGCCCACGTTCGATATATTAAGATTCTAACATGACTCAATGGCTTTAGGGATGAAATTGCAATTTTTTCACGACTTCATTGTCTCCCAGAAGAGGCTTTAAGTACAAAGACAACCAAACCATATAATTTATAGAAATATGAGCCGAAAGCCTCAGAGTCATGTTAGATTTTTAACCCTTTCACTGCCAGAGTGCTTGATGGAGTTTTGTAATGTGACTCCAACTTTTGAGTCTGCAGACAAAATCCTATGATGTGACCACTCAAATGAAACCTCTCTGCCTGTACTTTCACGTGGTGCTGTTTGTTTTTCAAAATTTTACAAAATGAAATTTGGAGATTTGATCAAAATTTGCTTTTGGCTAAAGTTGGCAGTGAAAGGTTTAATATATCAAATGTGGGCTACTCTTTTAACTACAGTATTTATTATTTTCCATGTTAGGGACGTGGCGCTAAATCGGGGTGATGCTTGTGAACCTTTTTTTGTGTGTGTGTGTGTGTTTTTTTTGTTGTTGTTGTTTTTTTTTGCGCCGTATGCGGGGCTTATTCGAGTAAGTAGGGTTAATCTCGTCCAATTTTCATTGTGGTTACTCTTAATGGAATTAACAGTTCTCAGCATTTGCGGTCCGATATTCCACGAAGTATTAAAGGAATTTCTTTTTTTGTCACAGTAACAAAAACAAAAAACTAAACCGATTCGCTTATCTGGGGTGATAAATTGAGTTTTTATGTAGAATTAAAACACATAAAACTGCCCTATTGTTTCTCTCAGTGATTATAGTAGCCAGATACATCCATAAAAAAAGCAGATGCGCTTATCTGGGATAATGAATTAAGTTTTACGCATGGAATGGCTTTTGCTTTTTCCAAGTTCTTCTCTACAATTACGATGTCTGGTCTGTTGCACTCAATTCTGTGGTCAGTTTCAACAGAGTAACTTGCATCCTTCTGACTCCTCCACTGGCTTTGGCTCGTGATCATACCAGTTTTGGGCAGTCAAAACCAAACTTTTGATAAAAGCTCCAGTGAACACATTTACCAACCCGATCGTGTCTCCAGCCTTTGTATTCTTTCTGAGCCAGTTTCTTGAACTCTGTCACAATGTGACTAATGGTTTCTTCCGTTTACCAACCTGATCGTTTCGTCCAGCCTTTGTGTTCTTTTCTGAGCCATTAAAACGCCTTTTCTTAGCCAATCTTGAACTCTGTCAAACTGTCCAATGTTTGACTAATCACCTGTCCTTTTTCTTTCCTTCAGTTCTCTTTATTATTATTATTGTTCTCGACATATTATTATTATTACAATGAGGATAAATTATTATTATTATTATTATTATTATTATTACTAGTATTAGTATTATTAGCAACCTCCTGGGTTTAAACAGAAAATATGCCTGGCTACGCCCCTGACTTCCTTTTTAATTGCTCTGAATTTAGAGATTGTTTTATTGACAGTCTAATGTTCTTGTTACGATTGAAAACAAGATGTCTTTTTCAAGTCGTTAATGTGTCATATATTCTGGACATAAAAATAACGTTATACGTCTTTAATGTTATTTAGGATATTGTACGCCTTAAAAGAATAGAAAGTCGGATGTTCTCCATTGAGGCGATTCAAGAGGTTTTTTCCGCAATATAATGGTCTTAGTTCGCACCTTAATTTCACATGCACAATAACCCAGAACACGCAACACAACGAACGGCCGAAAAGTCGCCATGAATACAATAAACAAAAAGAATAATATTTTACAGATTAGGTCTAGGTTTTCTGTTCGTCATTTTCATTTTACCTCGTGCCCGGTTGTCTGAGTTGTTTTGGGGATGTTCCGTTGTTCCAGGTTTTAATACATGCCTCTCAATTTAGACACAAAATTCATATCTCCTATATGAGAATCGGTCGCCTTATTAAGGTAAAATGAACGCTGTTTACATATTTTTTTTCTGTATTTAAGGTAGGAGTGGTTGATGAATGCGGAAAATTAAATATTTAGGGAAAAGGAGGGAGTTAGCTAAGCTATCGTCCTCGCACATATCCAGTGCGAACGAATAGTTTGCGGTTGTGTAACCTTACAGACCTGCCCGACGGCTTTGGCCTTTAAGGATAACACCATCATCGATATCGATGATCATACTAAATCCATCCAATAATTTCCAAATATTTCGAGAAGAGCGAAATTTCTTTTTTTAAAAAAGTTCGCTCATTTACAATGATAATTAGAATTTTAATGGAATGAAAACACATAAAATTGCCCTAGTGTTGCTCTCAAGGATCAACCATTACCAACCCCTGGATAGAGAACACCGCATTGGAAACTTTATAAATGATTACGCTTTATCATTTACGTTATACTGTGGCCATTAGACACCTAATAAACAGTTCAACAGCTACGGTAAGAAGTGGACCGTAACGTAATTCACTTTTACTGCGGAAAATTAAACATTTAATGGCAAGGAGTGAGTCAGCGAAGCTATTGTCTCTTTAATTGCTTTGGATGTAGACATAACTGTATTGACAGTCTAACGTCTTCACTGAGAGCAAAAAACAAATGGCCTCTTTGTCAAGGTAGTTAATGGGTCATATATTCTGGACCTTTTTGTACACAAGAAAAAAAATGCACGCATCGGGAGTGGTCTTACTATACCATCATAATAAGTTTTCACCTTTTATCTCGGACTGTATTTTCCTTCATCGTGTTTTTTAAAATACAGCAAAACTAAGTGTATGAAACGCTTGATGGCCGCTTAATGTAGGTGAAAGCAATAGTAGGGCTTTCGTCGGGATGGCCAAAAGGTGACAGTGGCCGCTTGATGGAGGTGCTAACTTAATAGAGGTTTTATTTACAATTCTTTCATTTTGGGACTTTGATTACTTTCGGCATAATAGAAGGTTGCAGCTAAATTGAGGTTCAGCTGTATATTGTACTCACTGAAAGAATCGAAAGTCGGTTGTCCTGATCAAGAGGTTTTTCCGTAATATACGGATATGATCTGAGATCGCGCATTAATCTTGTCATATATCTTCTTGTATAAGGAAACTGGCCGCCATATTAAGGCAAAATCACAATGTTTGCATCCTTGACGGATATTTCACGTGGGCGTGGTTGAATAGTACGCGAGATTAAGATGTTTTAAAAAAAATTCAAAGTGAGTCAGCGAAGTGAGTCATTTGTTATCGTATACGCATGGCGAACAGATTGCGCTCGTAGCGCCCAGACCATTGCTGAACCATGGCAAGCCCCAATTCTTCATCCTTGATCGACGATTCCTCTGAAGGTATACCGCAGAGATATCTCCTATCGCAGATTGTCGTCGGCCCTCTGCTGGCTATTCCTGCAGTATTGTCAAACCTTATTTTGCTGATAACAATTTATCGTGGTCAGTTGCCTCGCACATCAGTCACCCTGTTGATCATTAACCTGAGCGTCTGTGACTTACTTTTCGGGTTAATCCCGGGCTTTGGAAGTATTTATTACGACATTAACTTATTCATCGACCGAAAGAGAGAAAAACTTTTGGCTGCAAGACTCACAATCATCATCGCTGCCGTGATAACAAATATTGTGTCATCATGTACTATTGCTGCCATGGCGTTTGATCGTTTGTGTGCCGTCTCTGTGCCTCTTCAGTACAGGACGCTTGTATCCAAAAAGAGGATCAAAGTATGCATCGCGGTTTTTTGGGTTTACGCCGTGTTTTTTGCCAGTTTAGCTCATGTGGTGTCGACGACTGTATTTGTACTGATGTACGTCCATCTCCATGTAACACTACCCTTAATTGTCCTGCCGTTGATATATTGGAAAGCATATCACGCTCTGCGATCTCACAACAGTCAAGTTCGAAACTTCTCTAACACGCGGGATGCAGAACAAATGTCTCTTGCACACAGAAGTAGGGAGAGAAAAATGATATCGGCTTTCCTGGTAGTCCTGGTTTTGTTTTATACGACTTTTGCTCCACAGTTCATTGCGCAGAATATGTTGGTTGCAAAGCCGTCCCTCTCAAAGATAGAAAGTTTTAATTTTTTTCTTTACGCCTCCAATAAGTTCCTTTTAGTGAATAGTTTTTTAAACCCTTTTATTTACGCGTGGAGAATTGCACAGTACAAAAAAGCGTTTCAAGAAGTTTTTCGTGGTTTTATCTGTAGTCGGCAAAACAGCAGAGTTTACCACGTTGCTGAGTCAAGCAAAACGTCGCAATCTTCCTCTGAGCTATGAACTGAAAGCAGCTACTGGTTTGGGAGAATTACAGCCGCCAAAACCTTTTCCTGATATGTTGTTTTCCTCGTGCAGAATGGCTGTTGTTCTCGGGATATTTTATTTACAATGCCTTTTATAGAGTTAAAAGACTCTTCTATTTAAATGACTGGAATAAAATTAATACTGATAAGTTTTTATATGGAGACTGTACACTGGCCTAATATTCTACCAGCTTTCCTAAACTAGGCGAGATCTAGATTAAAAAAACATGACTTGTCAAAATAAAAAAAAGAAAAGAAAAGAAAACTTTCTCCATCGATTCTTTAATAGCACAATTTCTACGGAAGTTAGTTGATATTGCTTCAGTAGGTTCAAATTATACAGTATATCATGTGGTAAAGAGTGCGGTAAATTTACTTAAAAACGATATTTAAAACCATTGGTTCCTGATAGGCTATTAAATGGCTGTCGCGAAACTCATTTTCTTATAATTTATGAAAAACACTTCACGTATCATGATGGGCTTGAATACCCCTTGAACGTACTTGGTTTAAACTTTGTATTTTTTTTTTTTAGATTGTTAGTAGGCGAGTTAGAGCTCTGTGCTGTAAGGTACGACATTTTTCCTTTCTTTTAATTCCCGCGAGTCTCCGTGACATAACGAGTCAATGAGGCGTTCTTTCTGTGTATCCGGAGATAGTAGGCGCCTGAAACGGGATTTGACAGGCGTAAAAAACTTAATTGCAAAAAAAGTAAGTAAACAAAATCCCATCAAATGGGTATCGAAAGTTGAAATGGCTTTTCTCTCTTTGTCTTTTATCTTTTATCTTAATCGGCAGTGGGAAACGGAAAAACCTTGATGGTGCAATTTAATTTCGTTCCGTACAGTAAGTTATTGACCGGAAATTAACCCGGCATTGTCCGAACGAGAAATGATTCAGATATTTTTTAAAAATCATTGTTACTTGGGAGTTCACTGTTCGGCCTTATGTATATACTTCAAAATGTTACGGCCATTAAGCGTGGTTTTGAAAAATCGTTTTTCGTGCTTTAATGGTAATGGATATTTGTCGAGAGTCACTATCCTACGCACCAAAAAACTGACATTAACATATTTAAGTAAAACAAAAACGACGTTTCAAGTGAGTGTAGGGTTAGTCTTGAAAGCGTCAGAACATTTGAAAGTGAAGCAACTGGCTGTCAACAAGCAGGAAAATTAGCAGGTGTTTAGTTCTCAAGCGTGAACATAACTTATATTTGCAAGTTCTTCGCGCCTGTCGTCATTGTTACATTTTAAAAGTTTGCTGGTATAAGGTTTCATAGTATATACAAATTAAATTCAAAAGTTGGATGAGCTGGATAAGCTGAATAAACTACCGTATTTATTCGAATAAGCGCTCAACCTCCAATAGCGCCTACCTCGAAAAGGCGCCCATCCTAGAGGCAGAAAAAGTTAATAAGCGCCCACCCCTCCCCTTTCCACTCAAACTCAAATAAGCACCCACAATCAAAACCCACTCCCCTTCCCCCTCACAGCCAAAAAACCTGAATAATTACTAATAAGAGAGTTCCGCGAAGACGGAGTTTTCTTCAGAGTATTTTACAGAAACCTTGCTTTGTTACATCTTCGCGTTTTGTTATTACCATTTATTGTTTTGTTGCAAAATAAACATACTACACTTGCTGAAAATGGTAAAAATTTAATAAGCGCCCAGCCTCGAATAAGCGCCCACTCTCAAGGTCCAAAAATTTAATAGGCGCCCAGGGGGGTATTACGGTATGCGGTGCAGTTTTCATGAGGTTTTAGCTCATTGTAAGCAATATTGAAGGAAATATCAGCCGTGGGAAACTACAGAAACAGCGGATGGTATAAAGACATTTGTAAAATTTCGAGTTTTTCAAAACAAAACTTCTCCAAAGGTACTCCAGTTGATGCGGTTTTAAATTGTCAGAGATGTGATCTTTCAAAATTCAGAGGTCCTATGTTTTTTCAACGAGTATCATTAGTAAGCGTACAAATATTTAACTATCTTGGCGGTGTCTGAATATCAGATTAAACACTCGAGTGAGTGTATCCTACGCGAATACTATGGTTCATCATCGCTCCGGCATTCGGAGAACGATGACATACGCCTGTACCCAGAAAGATTGTTTTAAAATGGTCAAAAGTTCTTACGAACAATTAAGACACAGTTTGCCAAATGTTTGATAATTAGGACCAAATTTTCAAACTTCTTTCACATATGGAGTTGCTTGATTTTCCCTCCACGAATTTACTATTCATGAGTTTGGGAAGTGCTTTCTGTCGAACGGTCATGAAAAAGGGATACCGAAAGCGAAATTAAAGATCCGCGAATTTAAATCCTCGCGAAATTTAATACTCGTGTAGAAATTCACGGAAAAAAAATGATTAACATGTAATAACAAAAACGTATACCAGATATCTATCGATAAATCAACAATCTGGTTTTAATGGTCTTCGGTTCCATTTTGTATTGCTTTTTCTAGTTTTAAAAGGTACTTTTAAATTATGCGTTCTGCTTTTTGCAATTTATCTAGAAATTTTAAGTAAATTCAGAATCATTTCCAAACACTAAAATGAAGTTAAAATCGTTTGAATCGCGAAATTTAATTCCCTTTTTTCATAGCTGGCTATTGAAATCGCGAAAAGAAAACCCCGATAATTTTACTGTTTCGCTAAAATCGCAAAATCAAGTACCAAGAAGGTATGTTAATATTAATTTTAGAGATGTTATTTATATATGTGGCATAAGTTTTGAACCATGTTGTGCAAAAACATAGCAAAAAAAGGTGAAGCCCCCGGAGAGATTTGAACTCTCGACCCCTGGTTTACAAGACCAGTGCTCTAACCACTGAGCTACGGGGGCGTGCGGTGGAGGGACAGCTTTTATCGCGAATTATACTTGTGTTTACAAGACCCCAATGATCACAGTTGGGCATTTCCACAATTGTAATTTACATTTCTTAGTATTAAGCGATCTAGCATCCTTTAAAGTAACTACCAATCATACTGAATTTATGGTCATTTCAGGTAGTTTATCATCCCAGTAATTTATTTTACTTTAAAGTTATTCTTGCTTATAGTAATTTATCATCCTTCGAGTACGGTAACCTGTTATCATATGAAGACTTTGTCGGCTTTCGGCAGCAAAGTGTTTCTTTTTTGCGGGGTTAAAAATTTACTAGCTAGCAAGGCCTCTGGTATCAGTAGAAAGGACAAGCTAACACACCTGTTTTTCTTCTGGGGGTGGTACTTAGGAGGCTGTCCAACACCCTGTTGTCCGTATGCTGGTGTCAAGAAAATGGAACAAGTTTGCGCACACGTGGTTTTGGTAAGATCCTAAATAACTCTCTCTCTCTCTCTTTTACTTCTTGTCCGGTCTCTCTTTTCTTCCCTCCTTCTTTTCCCAACTTTTCTCCTGTTTCTTCCCTCTCTTCTTTTTTTCTTTTTCCCTCCCCATTCATTAAGCCTTTCTCGTTGTAAATTCTACTCTCACTCCCTATTATCTTTCCCTCCTCTACCTCCTTCCTTCCTTCCTTCCTTCCTTCCTTCCTTCCTTCCTTCATCGTTTCCCCTTTCTTTCTCGCACCCTCCCTCCTTTTATTTGTTCCTACCTCCTTGCCTCCACTTTTGCTTGCTTCATCCCTCACGCCGTTTCTTCCTGCATCTTAAATCTTTGTTCATTTGTCTGTCTTTTTCAACATTCTCCTTCTAGTTTTATTGTCATGGTTGTAATGGTGATGATAATGATGATGATGATGATGATGATGATGATGATGATAATTATTATTATTACTATTACACTGAATTATTATCTTTCACTCTTCTTGTTTCAGTATTCAAGCAGCCTTCTACCTATTGTTTCTAACCGTACTGTCCTACGCACTCATTCATGGCTCAACTCAGGATGATCCAAACAAATACAGAGGAAAAGCGAATGGTCTCCGGTTGTTCTGTGAAATTATCACCATCATTTTTATCATGTTTTACTTTTTTGAGGAGGTGAACCAAGCAGAACGGTAAGATGGCTTAGTTTTCTGCATAATTCTTGTTATAGAATGTTTTCACATGACGTCACGGCGGCCATATTGGTGTCCCAAAACAATGAAACGGCGGCCATGTTGGTGTGGGTATTGGGAGTTGTTTTTTCTTATGCAAATTTCTTTTGTTTTTTTCATATATTTTACTGTTACTGGAACCTCGAGAAAATCGTTTCGTTATCGAGGGGGACACATATTTTACCGTTACTGGGCCAGAGAAAATCGTTCGTTGTAGCGAGGACTTCGTTATGTAGAGGTTCATTGTACATGTTGTATTGAGGTTCCACAGGTTGAACCCAGTGGCACTGAAATGAAAGGGAAATAAAAGAACAAGTAGAAACATTGTACAAAGGTTGTACAGTCTATCTGAAAGGAGATATTTCTCAATTAGGGATCTTTGGGTAGCTGAATCTCAAGCAATACCATGGTCTCTTGATCAATTTGTTTTTGTTTTGTTGTGAGTATACATGAAAATTTAGTTTTATCAATTGAGTTGATAAAATAAATTTATGTCGTACCCGGCACTCCTCGGCGTCTGTGTGTCTGTTGGCTCGGAGATGCTTGACCGTGAAAGAACTGGGTACGAGATTACGCAGCGTCACCAGAAAACCTGCTTAACAACGATGCGAAAACACGATTTATTTATTTATTATTTATTTATTTATTTCCGTCCTCTTTAGGGAGTGGAAAACCTATTTCAAGGATCCCTACAACTATTTTGATTGGCTGGGGCTTGTGTTGACGTTCCTTGTCATTCCTCTACGGTTTGTTGAAGTCCAGTCTCAATGGAGTGTCGCTGGACTCGGTTACCTGTTCAATTTTCTCAGGCTGTTCAAGTTCTCTTGTGTCACCAGGTATTTTATATTTTTACGAATATCAACTCGAGTCAAGAGACTCATGCTTCGTCCACACATTATTCCGTTGGAAGAATCCGTACAGACGATTCGCTTACGTCAGTTCACACGAGGAAAAATTAAAATTATACATTAAGTCATAAAAGAAAAGCCAGCTACTGTGTAAGGGCTATAGCACTCAGTGTCGTCAGATTTCAAGTGCCGGTGAAAATAACCGAGACTACAAGCGAACTTTCGAGTAGAATTGCATTTGCATTTATTTATTTTTATAAGCTTTGCAACCGGCGCTTTCAGAACTGAATTCATCTTGCTAATTGCGGCGAAAAAACAGGATCTTGACATACAGCTGCAGGTTAAAACGCAGGCTATTTTCATTGTTACAGTCCCGATTTTTCCTCGGAATTGCAGCATTTCTGCTCAGATCCTCGCATTTTATAGAAAGTCTTCTTGACTTCGTGTTCCTGCTCTGTGAATCGGGAATCATATTCAAAGACTGAAATAGCATTTCTTGACGAAATTTTGCGCTTGTGTTGAAAATATCCTCTGATATGAAAAGGCAAAACAAATACAATCTTGGCTCTTCGGTAAAAGCATAGAAAAGAAAAATTTAAGCCCCCGGAGAGATTCGAACTCTCGACCCCTGGTTTACAAGACCAGTGCTCTAACCACTGAGCTACAAAGGCTTGTTGAATATGTAGGGTCAATTTATTGTTATTTTTTGTTTGCGATTTTACAAGATTATTCATTGCAGTTGCATATTTCCGAAAGAGTACCCGATCACCATGGTACTTCTTGGGCCAAATCTGCGAAATTCGACTACTATTTACCTGTAAAGGTGTTCAGAAAGAAAAAGAAGTTGAAGGAGAATTTAAATTTAACTTCCTTTTTTTGCACATCTTGAATACCAGGTTAAGTTTTAATCGCGGTGAGACGTAAAAAAAGTTTGTGGTTATTGACGTGACGACACGTCGGCCATATTGTTGTACCGAAAACGTAAAACGGCGGCAATATTGTATCAACCCTGTGGGACTGCATTCTTTTCTTGCGTAACCACGATCTTTTGTCCCAGTGAACTAAGGCTATGTCGATGCTATACCGGATAGCCGTTGGACCTGCACCAAAACCATATCCGATAGAGCTTTTTTCATACATTTCTGTAACGAAGCTGGACTGCGCCGCGCCGATCTTGAAAGTGAATCGTCACATATCGGATAAGTTACTGTGCCACTCTTTATAGCAGTGTGAGTAGCGGTTTTTTTTCCCGTATCAGACCAGAGTATTTTTCCTGTCGACATAACAAGCCACCCAGTATGGTGTAGACAAGGGGACGTCACTTGTTTCCATCCGCCAAACTGACATTTTGTTCTCAGTGGCTCTCACAAGGAGTGACGGCTGTTCTCGCCGGCTAATCGTGTGCCGAGTAAAAACGCTACATATCAAATGCCATGAGAATGAAAGCGTTAGTTTCAGTAGAAGCTGTAGGACTGTTTGTAAGCGAGTGAAATGCAAAAATGCGGTTTATCAAATGAGTTTATTAGGTCAATTTACCACCATAAAAAGACTTTTGAACTGACTTTTCGAGTGCTTACTCTTCGTCGGAACCATGAGACTCTGTCTTTAATGGGACATCTGATTCTGAAAAGTGGGTTTAAAAAAAAAGGCACAGCCCTTTCTGGCCTCGAAGCAAGTTTTTTTTAATGCGCAGCTTTTTTTCCATAGAACCACTGGCCTGTACACCAAGACTCTGGCAAGGATAATCTACAGGGACATAACTCGCTTCGGTGTGGTGTTTGTTGTTGTGTTCCTTGGATTTTGCGGTGCCATGTACATGGCACTGAGAGCTACAAATTCGCAAAATGTTTTTAGGTAAGACGGTGTTTAGTAATACACTAGCCTAGACCGCTTCTTTTAACCGTTATCAGTTATAGAAGAAGCCTTCAGGGAAAAAAGTAGACTTGCTACAAGTCGACCTCTCACAAGCTCTAAAAATCGAGCCAAGCGAGCCTCAATGAGATCACGCAGCAACCGAGCGAGCGTCAAAGTCACGAACCAACCAGGAAAAAAAATAAAGGACTTTCAGAAAGTCTACCAAAAAATAGTGCATGCGGGAACGTGCGTGAAGAAACACAAGAAGAAAAATATTTTTCTTTTCTTATCTAAATTATCACTTATACTTCTAGTGGAAACCATGCAAGGTGACCTCTGATGATGATGATGATGATGATAATGATGATGATGAAAACACTGCCCTTGAATATGTTGCTTGTGTCTATACTTATTGTGCGTGAACCACTCATAGGCTGATTGTTGCACACGGCAGGATTTGTTGATTAAGTGATTATTAAATTATTTTAAAATTATTTATTATTTTATTATTTTTGGCTTTTTTAAAGCAATTATGCTTGGTTGATGTTGGCTGCCATTAGAGCTCTTGTTGAACAACAGCCAGTTGAGGAAGACTACAGTAAATTCAAGTAAGGTTCTCTTATTTATTCGTTTTTGTGTTGCTTTTGCTTGTCATATTTTCTTATAGTTGTACTTCATGTAGATGATAAAACTTACGAAGGGTTTGTCAACAAGGCCTTTGGTAGACAGTTTTTATGCAACAGCTTGAACTTTGATTCACAGTTGGCCGTCGGATTTCAGGCAGTTTTTTGTCGCTTCTTCAGACTGTTGGTCAGGTTACTTGAGTTCTGCGATCTTCGTTCAAAACACAACATGTTAGGAAAGAATGACGTCGCACAATCCGAGAATTCTTTGGTGCCCTGTCGCCCGTTCGATATTTTTGACACAGTTTGATCAAGCTGTATATAGCCAAACAGTCCCCAATCCTCTCTAATCAATTACTGTATCTTGAGGTGCTTAAGTCGATTTTTGTTTTACTAATCATGGTTGTCTTTTTCTTTTTTATGCCTTGTTAGCTGGCTGGTAATTATTATTCTTCTCGCCTACATGGCATTGGTAATTGTGGTGCTACTTAATATTCTCATCGCTCAGCTAAGCTACACCTACAGCGAAGCTAAGAAGACCGCTAAACTGCAGTACGCTATCGACGCTATGTTCATTGTTACACGTCTGGAGTACAGCAGACTCGCTAGATGGGTATGCTTCGGCTTATTGCCACTGTTTGTTAGCATCCGTTTTTTTCTTATTACGATATGTGTCTAATCTGTTTATGTATTTACTTGCTTTTTTTAATGCCTGCCACGCAGGCTCTGGAAATCGCGGTTGGTTAAAGTCACACGCGAGCGAGCCGCGAAAGATTGGCGCGGGAGGAAGCAAACGGTCCTTCTCCCGCCCTCGCGACTCGCTCCGCTCTACTCTTGCGATTCTCGACTAGAGAGTTAGTTCGCCGGCTATGTTGAAGTTGGATATTTATACAATGAAAATAAGAATATTTTTTGTCCAAATTTTGCTTTTAGGTAAAAAAATAAATACATAGAAATAAAAAATAAAAAACGATAAGCCCCCGGAGAGATTTGAACTCTCGACCCCTGGTTTACAAGACCAGTGCTCTAACCCCTGAGCTACGGAGGCTTGTGGTATGCATGTGCCAGTTTATGACTGCTTTTACTTTTCGATTTTTTAAAGTCTCTGACAGTTGCCTATTTTACGTGACTCACTCCCCCCTTTTTATTTAAAACCCGCGTTTAACTGATCACGCTGGTCGCTTGCCAGTGCTCCCCACCTTTTCTGCTACTTGATTATCTCAGGCTCCGTGTCTACATTAACTCCAAAAGTTTTGTCGCATATGACAATCAATTCAAAACCGCGAGAGAACTCATGCTGAAAATGAACTTTATAGTATGATCTGTTAAAAGGTACTATATACTGAAACTACAGGAAAAAAAGTTTTTTCTTCATGAAAATAACAAAAAGCTCTTTCCTTTTGTTTCAGAACTTAAGGGTCAAGAATTATTTGCCCGGTGACTGGGTCAGTGAAAAAGACCTTGCAAAAGGTAAGCTATAAAAGGAATTTGTCCCAAGGGGTTTTTATATTTTGATCCTTAATGTACATTGGGTGTGGCCACAGGCCCGTAAACGCGGACGTATTTCCCGGCCTGCAGAAATACAATTAACTCACGCCTAGCGGACACTCAGATAGTATGGACAGCAGCCAAATCCTCACGGATGTTTGACTGAAATAAACTCCCGCCATTACGGGCTCTCGCTATTGAGGGCACTAAGTCAAGGTCGCTAAGGTGTCCGCTATAAAGGGAGTTGACTGTACACCTTTTTTGTTTGTTTGTTTGTTTGTTTGCTTTTTGCGTTTGCTGGCTAAGGTCACTCGTGCTAATTTAAAAGAAATGGCAGCGACATGTAAGTTAGTGTTTTTTTCACCGCTGTAAGTCACTTTTTCTAGATTCCTACGCAGATGTTATTAGGACTTTGTCACGTGTGACGGCTTACCTTTTTCGGTATTTCTTTGTTTGCTTGTTTTTTGTTTTTGTTTGCTTGTTTTTTTTTTTAAGGCTGGGAACACTAAGGGAAATATTACAGGGTTCAAGTCCTCTCATGTAACATTACCATGTGGATGAAAAAGTCTTGTTGAATGGACAAAATTCTTTCCCAGCAACGTGTTTTGTGAAATTCAATTGGCTTGAATACGTACATCGTGAAGCATGAACAAAATGGTGCAGGTATCAACTCTATCCAATCCAGTTTTCTAGTGTGTCTCGGCCTTTACTGTATCCACAGACAATTTACTCGTGTAAAATTACTTTATTTATGGATGTCGGACGTTTTGAGTCCATTTTCAAGTCTGTTATCAGGTTTTTCAAGGTTACAGTACTATGTAAACGCTTTTAAGCCATAGCTTCCTTATCCAGCATCTCTCATAGGGTCTTGCTTTTTCGTAGAACTGCTGGAATACAGTGATGATCGTCACCCGTGGGAAAACTTGGAAGCAAAGCTAAATGACATAAGGTGAGCAAGGGTTTTGATGCAGCTTTTCTTTCTCTCACCCCTGACCTTAGGACTCGAAGTTAACTTTTTAGTGCACTTGCAAAGTTTTTCTAGTAAGATATTTTCCCACTAGCAAACCGGTGAGATCACTAGCAAATTCTTCCCCTTTGTTTGGGAGACAAGGATGATTCTAACTCGCAAACGTTTGCTAGTGGATATTTTTTTCACTCGTAGATTATCAAAATCAGTCGCATTTTGCGAGTTTGCGAGCGTTAATTTGAGAGCGCTTGACCTTGTTAGATCATCAGTTTCTTTATTGGGTGCCCTGTTTGTTTCGGTTCCAGTCCCCCTGAGCAGGTTTTTTTTCCTCACTCGCTCGCGGTTGATCCCTGAGCAAGTTCACAAACAGCGTCTGGTGCTCTATGTTGTGCTCGTGTTAAGTGCACTGAGGCTGTTCTCGCGCTTGTCTTGCAGAAAAATTAACGAATATATCTTATATAATATTTCTTTTCATCAGGGAGTTAATGAAGAAAGTGGTCAAAAGGGGAAAGGAGAAGGACCCATGGGATAGCGTTGATGAAAAACTGACGAATTTAACGTAAGCAGTTCTGTTAGATTTCTTCTCTAGAACCATTCAAACTTCATTCAATGGTGTCAATACGTCATCTCGCTACATCTTTGAACACAAAGCGTCTTCAGTAGTGTTTTATAACTTGCAGCAACATCTTAACAGTTGTGCTTATTAGGCTTTCTTCTTCTTGGTCTGGAAAGGAAGCTGGAGCTAACCCTGAGTCGAGGCTGTATATGCCTCGTCCCAGATCCCGTCTGGAATATGTTTAGATGTGTGCTAAGTCGCTCGTCCCTCGTTCGGCCTTCGCAACACGCCTTAGTAATTCGATGCACCCGACTAACGTAAGACCCTTCTATCGTTCCTTCATTTTTTTCTTGTAACCGGAATACGTGTTTATTCACTGCATATTGTTTGTTGTTTTGTTTTAGGGCCATGTTCGACAAGCTCTCTGCATGTCCAGAAAAGGCCGAAACTTGATCTGCGCTGAGACATGAGATTTTCTTTACAATAACAATTCTGTAATACAATAGCAGCTGGAATGTACGGTTCCAGCAGCTGTCGTTTTCTCTCTCTCTCTTGCTCGGAAGCTCCACAGAGCGCTGCGAGATATCCGCTGAGTGTTATGAGTGCAGGTGCATAAGATGAGAGGATCGAATGAGCGCCTTCTATCATACCATCACTTTTACTAACTTCTCCGTTGAATGAAAACCTCGGGGAAGTGAGGTCTTACAATTTTAAGGCCTTGTCTTACTTATCTCCGTGCAGGAAGTGCCACAACACCACAACACATTATCAGAGTTGTTTTACAATTTCAAAAGATATTTACTTTTTAGGACTCAAATAAATAGTCAGGGAGAGAAAAAGCGACAGACTGGGGGATGAATAAGTCAAGTTTTTCTATCCCTGAGGAAAATGGGGGACTAAATAGTTTATTAAGGGATCAGGTAAAAATTATCGTTCATTAAAGAATTCAATGAGAAGACTTCTGCATAAAGTATGTAATCAAACAGCCTTCAGTTTTTTTTATTGTAAAAGTAACTGGAGGCCAAATATTGTTTTCGCGATACAATATGGTTACATAAAACTAAAAACCCAGGGTAAAGTTGAAAGAGAATGTAATAAAAAAAATAGTAAAATCCAACTAGTGGTCTATTATCGATGCTGCGTTCTGATTGGTTGACTAGAAGCGAAAGCGCTGGCTTTTTGGCGACAAAAAAGGATTAAAGTCTAGCTTTAACCAGCTTAAGTTGTTTTGTCTCGATATTTTTGACCAGCTAGTTGGATTTTATTCAAACAATTATTCCTCTCGCCCTCATGGTCTCTGAGTCAATAGCCCATTCGGGCTCGAGGAATAATTGTTAAATAGTAATCAGCTAAAAAATTTATTTCCTCTTCGGACGAACATGGTGGACGTGATCGCCTTAGAGACCACACGTAGCCAAACCTCGAAATATGAGAGTCGGCACTGTTGCGTAACCTTCGGAATATACTTAAAGGATTTGTATGAGGAAAACTAGACTTTCTCAAAGCCCGTTTCCGGCCAATTCGAATTCAACTATTTCGTGCCTGGGCTGCCTGTGAAGAGACCTGGGCAAGTCATAGAGGGTGAGGCCTGGGCAGTCCAAACTTCGAACCTCACGTGCTAATGAGCTAAATCTACTGTTCTGGCTCATTAGCATTGGGTAGTAGACTTTTAGGGACGGACCATTAGAAAACTTAGGGGTGTAGGGAGGAAGGGAAAAAAAAAAAAAAAATTCGCGCAAGGGAAAATTAAATGAAAAAAAATTCTTGCTCGCCAATTAACCCTAAAAAATATTCATGCTATGGCCTAAAAAAATTCATACAAGGAATTTGATAACGAAAAAAAATTCCTGCGGCTCGAAAATTCCCCCCCCCCCCATAACTTTTCTAATGGTCCGTCCCTTACCCTGGCCTTGTGGATATCATGACTGAAAAACGGCAGGCGTCCACTTTAGGGAGGTGTCTGGCCGGCTTCACAGAGAAAGTTCGCTGTACCTGGAAGCTTAAAGGTCCCGGGGGGTACTCCCTTATATAAGCCATATAGGTATGTGCCGCCCCATTAAAGGGTATGGTTTTTGCGCCGTTTTGGTCTGAAAACAGGTATAGATGTTGCCCGTTTTGGTCTGGAATCGAGTATAGTTTACGGAGGAACCACGTTTGTGTATCAACGTATTCGTCGTTTCAATTTCAAATGAATAAGAAAGAAAGTGTAATTCGAAATGGATTTTAAGAAATCTTTTTGTTGCGGTTTTAGTTTCAGCAATGATGACATAATTTCTGGTTATGTAAACATGTAATGTTGCGTTTTGTGACCACCACCAGATCTGAAAACCAGTGTGAAAAATGACATTTTTGGTCTAAAATGGGGTCAGGATTTTGAGAACCGGGCTGGATACCCGGGCGGGGGGGGGATCCGCATATGAAAGGGGTGGGGATGTTCGTCGGAAATTTTGAAATAAACCAAGGAGACCGATCTGGGCGTGGCCCAAAAAATATGATGGCACCCTAAGTGAGAACAAAATCTGAAATTTACACCCCTAAGCGAGACGACGAGCATCCCCACCCCTTTCATATGCGGAGTCCCCAGCCCCGAGTCACGGGATGTTTCCTGTCAACACGCATGCATTATCTGTTTGATATAAAATCAAATATGCCTAAAATATTTGCCATGACATTTGAATCACTTATGCGTAAAAATTTTTCTACAATGGACGTTTGCACCTTTAAAGCACGTGTTAAAATTAACCATACACGTTAAAACGTGACTTGATTTTTATCCAGTACATTATTACGAAAAGAATGCGTAGTGTTTTAAATGGAGCAAAATCGACAACAACGGACAAAACATTTTATCACAAGAAAAACAGATGTTACCTTTGACCTTAAAATAATTCATTTCCTAGTTGGTCTGTATTTTTTCCGTATTTACCCCGTACGTTTAATATATCACTCCCATTTCCACAAGTCAGACAATTGGCGTAGCAACAGGATATCGTACAGGGTTTGTTATGTAAAGGATAACATTTTTGAAAATTCAGTCAGTCGCGCGCGACTCCTATGGGCTACACGTCACGTTCTTCATCTCCGTTTGTTTACGCTTGGATCTTGAGATTTACGATGCTTTGCTGTTGCCTCACCATAGCATGGTGCTTGCTTAGATTTTCACAAGGTAACTTACTACGCTTTGGTAATAATTTGTCCTTTATAAATTTTTTTAATTTAGCGCTGTTATCCTTGTAGTTTCTACGGATGAGGTAAATACGCGTTCGGCTTATAATCACTTAAAACACTGCCAAGCAGTTCACTCCGATCCGGCCCAGAATTAAGAAAACACATACAGTGTTGATATCTTCAGTCCTTTTATATCTTGCTGTTTGTTTGTCAGTATCAACTAAATGAAAGTTCTAAGTAGAATTTTCTTAATATTCACTATGGCTTGAACAGATGTGTTGTCCCTTGTCCTAGTAATTTTGCTGCATCCTTCCTAATCACGGTTACGCAAATTATTTTCTAAACTAGACAATTGACCTCTTGCAAATATTGTCTGATCTCTTTTTTACTCGAGTCCTTTCCAGCAATACAGGAAGTTTTCTAACATCAACCATGCTGCTGAATTGTCAAAGCAGAAACTTCCTTGATCAATGTAATTTTAGACCGTCAGTGATCTTTACCTGTGGTTTCCTTTCAGTGAAAACTCAAATGTGAAGACTGTGCGGGTTAAAATTAAGTATTGCGCAAAATGTACTTATTTCTTGTTTTACTTAAGATTCACATTGATTAATGGTCAAATTGAATTCTCACGAACTAGCTTACATGCTTCTGGTGAGATAATAAGTTAAGTTGGGTTTCTGTTCCCTTTGGTGTCAGTTGGTTGAAGCGAAAAAAAACATTTTTTGAGTAGGTATGTCGGGGGTGTGTCAGGGGCAGGTCATGTTCAACCAATCAGAGATAAGTTGTAGCGTCATTCGCCTGATAACATCATCTCCTGATTCTCTCCTGAGCTTTTGCTCTAGCTTTCGCCCTCTCTTTTGCTCTTTTGACCTGAAAAAACGAGAAAATTAACTTTCCATTCGACTCAAACTTTTTTCCAAAACTTAAGCTGTAAAGTCAACGCACCCGTTTTTTTTAAGTTGCTGTTAATAAAATCTAGCGTTACTTTTCTCAGAGCAAGGGTTGAAAGTAGCCCTTTTTGTGTTTGTACATTTTTTAGTATTTTGCAATAGGACAAAATTAAAACTGCAATGTCTGTGGTATCATTAAAGCGTTGAAACAATGGTTTTATTGGCTAGATTTTTTCCCTCTTATTTCATGGGACAGAGGCGCAAAAGCCCTTGCACTTTATTGTAACCTTCCTCCTTCCATGACAGATCATATTCTGGGTCTTGTCTGGACAGGGTTTCTCATTTAATAATATATCGGTGAAATGATAAAGGGTGACCGGACAATGACATATAAAAATAAAACTATTTAAAGCAAGCCGTTTATTAATTCATTTTCCCATTAACATATCATAGGTTACTTTTGTCTAAATTGTTTATTTAACAATAATGTTCACTTCTATTCTGCTGACAGGGTATGCACAGTCTTGGACAGTCCTTGGATTTTAGGGGAAGTCCTTGAAAAGTCCTTGATTTCCATTTTTCCTTGAAAAGTCCTTGAATTTTCTTCAACTTTGAATTTACTGGCACGGAAAGTGTTTTTTGATGATTTTTTGTTGTCCAAGACAGAATATGAATCATAACTCTGAGCATTTAAAGGTTATTTACACAAAGTGCTCAATGTTTTATGCAATAACTAGAATTAACTATCAATTTAAGAGAAGTGAACTGAAAAATGTAGAGAAGTTGGTGAAGCATTTACATTTCAATCCTTATAGCCTTATAACAATGGACTGGAAATGTGCACTTTTGTAAAATCTGTGAAATGTTTCCAGTAGACAGTCCTTGAAAATCTAATGTGGTCCTTGAAAAGTCCCTGAAAAATGGTTGCAATTTTTTGTACGAGCCCTGGCTGAGTTCGTACACTTCACATCTGAATTGATAGATAAAAACAGCAACCAACGCAAAAAGGGGATCAGTCGCATACTGTTGATCCCAATACAGTTTTTGAGATGCACAAAAAAATGAAAAAACTTTTGTTACTGGTCAAGACAGGAGCCTTAACTTGCGGTCTCCATTTCAACACTTACTGAAGAAAGAAGGTACCATTTAAACTCACTCACTTCACAAATGTGTCTAAAAACTTTTTTGGCAACAACAGCAGTGACGCTTGAACACAGGCAAGCTTTCTAGGCATGGTACCACATAGCTCCCATTTGTCATTTTGGACATCGTAACACTCAACAATGTCATATTTGCAATAAGTACGATCTTCTCCCCCAAACAGATACAGGTGATTATCAAAAGTGACCATAGCACATGCTGCTCGAGGCACAACTGGACTAGACACCAGGCTCCATTGGTCTTGTACAGGGTCAAACATTTCACAGCTTCTCTCTACAGTTATGAATTGTGTGTCACTGTATCCTCCAGCAATGAAAATTTTTGCACAAGAAACAGCTGCACCAGCAAATTGTCGTGCAACATTCATACTTGGTCTGTCAGTCCAGTGATTAGTTGATGCATTAAAACATTCAATGCTTTTATGACAAACATTGTTATCACAACCACCAAGGACATAGATAAGGTTTTCCACAACAACAGCACAGTGAGACGCGCGTGAAGTTTTCATTGAGGCAACTTCCTTCCATTCATCAAGTCCGGGATCATATTTGTAGACTCTGTTCAAATGCCTGTCACCACCTATCACATAAAGGTTTCCATGAAGAGAGGTAACTGAACAATGTTGACGAATTGGTGCTGTTGTTTCAGTTGGAAACCACTTGTTTTGGTTGGGATTATAGATGCACATTGGGTGAGATGACTGGCCACCAACTACATACAACTGACCACAACACACTGCAGCCCCATGACGTGTACGAGAGAATGGCATAGAGGGTAGGGATGCCCATTGATTCTTGGACAGCAGAAAACAATAGGCATTATTGGACACGTTAGCATCATGCCCCCCGGTAATAATTACAGCCAATTCATTCATTCTTAAACATGTTCGTGGTTGAAGTCTCGTGCTTAGGAAACTATCTGGAAAGAAAAAAAAATTAATTGCTTCAAATATGATACTTGCACAAGTCCGACTTTTAATGACCAGTTCTTCTTTTGCAATTTCCGCAATTCCACTCTTTGACATCGAGAAAAATCTCAAGCATTTTAGTAACTCAGGAAAGAGTTTCTCCCTTGATGAAACATCATGCTTCACCCACGTGACAACAGCTTCGTAAACTTCTTCTTCCTTCGAAACGATTATATCGTCATGCAACACAAGTTCCTTTATTCGTTCAAAATTGAGAGCTTCAAAATCATCCGCTTCCACGACAGACACGAAATTCTGAAGCTTATAAGCAGCTGCAGCCTCTTTAAGTGATTTGCAACCGTACTGAATAGCAAGCGATTCCAGTTCTAGGCAATTTGAGGCATGAATAGTATCCTTTAAGTAATCTGACACTTTAGCCTTCAAGCTCCGAATGATCAGATAGTCTGCTGTCCTAAGCAGATCTTGAGCGTTACTGGCATTTACCAAAGCTTCACCAGTGTAAATAAAACGAAGAGCTTGGTCCATTGTGGTAGTTTTTATCTCTTGCAACTCCACCACGCTGTCTTGATTTTCTCTAAACCCACTGGTAAAGAGAGATCGGAAGTATGGGCTTGCAGCTGAGAGAACACACCGATGTGCAGCGAAGTCCTGCCCTTCGATTCGAAGTGTTACATCACAAAGAACGTTGTCTTTTCTAAGTTCGTGTAACTTGAAAAGTAATTTTTCCTTAAAATCCTGGTTAAATACTAGTTCTTCTCTGACGCTTCTCGCCTCTGTCGTTGCCGCCATTTTGGATTTCACAGACGATGACGTTTTTGCTAGTCCCAGTCTTCTTATAGTCTGCTTCACTCGTCTCGCTGTGGGCTGTCGGCGGTGGAGTTCTGAGAGGAGACCAGGGAGACCCAGAACAGTGGTACGTATGTGCATACTGCGCTTGTGAAAATGGCTAATATTGGCGGAGGGGAAGGTGCAAATAAGAGAGCATTGGCGCTCATTTTTAAAAGGAACTATTGTATTCCGTTTTCCACCTTTATAGTCAAAGAAGGACTTACGATCCCTGTGGGGCTGGGAACTCCCATGGAAATGGGCGGGGATATTTGGTGTCTCATTTAAGAGTGTTTGAAGATTTTGGTATTTAAAAAGCGTGTTCAGGATGCCAATATTTTCAAAGTGCTTTATACAACGTAAATAATTTTATTATATTAACTTAAAGAATACGTTTCTTCTAAAATTTATTCGAAAAAAAAAATGCGTTTTGACCAGAATGAAAATTTCCAAGGCTAAGGTTTTTTTGGTACCCGTTCCACTGATCACGAAATTGGCTCATGTGTGACATCATGAGGTATAAATTCAGGAACTTCAAGAAAGTACAAGATAAAGGTGTTCCATGAAAGAACTCCAAGTACTGTTAAAGGCACTGTTTAATACTTTCAATGCTCCTCTGTAAATCAGTAAAATGTACCAGTACTTAAGATTGATTCATATTTATGAAAGAAGCTTAGTATTTACAGTTTCCTTGTTTATTACTTGGCATTTAAGTTGCCTCTTCTTGTACTTTAAAAACAAGATGGTAAAATTCAGTAAGCTAAGTGATAAAATTGAAGAAATGCTTTTAACCCTTAAGCCCTAAGAATATGATAAGCATCAAATTTCTCCTTGTAATATCAATGCTTTGTAAAACAGACTAGTCATGAGAATTACAGACATGATCACACAAGATGAATTTGCTTGATATTTTATCAACTTCTCCCCACTACTTCTACAGGAAATGAACAGGGGCAACAAATGAGAATTCAAAGTTTGATCTTAGTGTTTAAAGGGTTAAATACTGTTCAACAAGGTAAACTTCTGTATTCCCAGCGGTAACCTCCCTAGCCTGTATATCTGGTGGAATAGCCACCAAAAATGGCAGCACTCCCCTACTATAGGTTGTAATCCCACCAGCCACACAGGATGTAACATAGCACACTACCACGATATGCTTTCATGCAGCATCTTTCTTTATTGTTGGTGAATCACAGAACATCTAAGACAGGGGGGGGGGGGGAAGCTACTTCCCATACATTCTCTTAAATGAAATCCAAACGATGTTCTCACAACTTGCAAAGCGATCAGCAAGGGTCTTGTCAGCGGATTTGTGTACTGATCATGCGCATTACGTCAAAATCCAAGAATCAAAAACATGGTGGTCGAAGGCAGGACTGTTTCCCACTATTATGTTTTGGTAATTCGCAAATTTATTGATTTTATGTCGCTTTTCAGACATAGTGTGTGGTTTTCTTTTTCTGTTAAACAATTTCCCTCTGCAGAGTTTGGAATATGCGACATATAGCTCCGTACAGCTGATAAGAACCGCCGAAGATTTGAGCTATCGAGCAGTATTTTGCTGCAAACCTTAGGAAAGTTAAAGTTGCTTCAAGGTACAGAGCTTTCAGTAGTAGTTGTGATTTCTTTATTAGGATCGTTTTGAATTTTAACTTTGGATTCAAGGTGTTGACTGATCGTAATAAACGAAGTGAAACGTTATGAAGTGTGAATGTTTATTCAGTTATGATTGTAGAGCTGTAAGCTCATATTTATAAAGCTCTCTGAATATATCTGCTTCTGATAAATTTAACACTTTCTCCAGTAATTTTTATCAGCATCAAGTTATCCTTACCGGGCAAAAACGATGTAACCTATAAATCGATCGAGCGCATTGTTGTTCGTTAAGATCTAACACGGTTTCCCCCGCAATTTCAGCACCGAAAGACCAACACGATATGCAAGAAAAACAAAGATGCATGATATTATGTTTTTCAATGTTTTAAGCATTTCTGATTTCCTCTGCCGGTTTGCTTCTTGCTTCAAAAAAGTCTAATCATTTACAGTGGGAAAAATACTGCAATTATCCGCTGACCACCACGCGGTGTGACTGCTTTGCAAGTTGTGAGAACATCGTTTCTTGGTCCCAGACCTCGTCGCTTCCCCGATCTAAGATATCCATGGTCTAAACAAGAAAATAACATACAGGTCAATTTAATATGAACAAAGTAGCAGTATTACTGTGTATCAAATGTGTCTAAATCATTTACGTATTTTTTTGGCAACAATAGCGGTGAAGCTTGAACACAAGCACACTTTTCCGGCATGGTACCACAATGCTCCCATTTGTTGTTTTTGACATCATAACACTCAACACTGTCATATTTGACCTGAATACCATCTTCTCCACCAAATAGATACAGGTGATTATCAAAACTGACCATAGCACACGCTGCTCGAGGAACAACTAGACTAGACACCAGGCTCCATTGGTCTTGTACAGGGTCGAACATTTCACAACTTGCCTCTGAAGCTCTGCATGCCTTGTCACTGTACCCTCCAGCAACAAAAATTTTTCCACAGGAAACAGCTGCACCAGCAAACTGTCTTGCAATATTCATACTTGGCCCCTCACTCCAGTGATTAGTTAAGGGATCAAAGCATTCAATGCTGTTATGACAAATCCTTGAGTCCACACCACCAAGGACATAAATAAGGTTTCCCAAAATAACTGCACAGTGCGCACCCCGGCCAATCTTCATTGACGACACTTCCTTCCATTCAGCCAGGATGGGACTATATTTATCAACCCTGTTCCAATACTGATCACCACCTGTCACGTATAACTCTTCATTAAGAGCAACGACAGAGCAGTGCTGACGGATAGAGGTATTTGCCTCAATAACAGTCCATTTGTTTTGTATTGGATCATAAGAGCACGCCACTTCTTCTTGCATCCCACCTACAACATATAACTGTCCACAGCACACTGCAGCCCCATGACGAGTACGAGGAAATGGCATCTCAGGGAGTGAAAGCCATTGATTATTTGACGGCAAGAAACAGTAAGTGCTCTGGTTGCTTACACTATTTGAATGGTGTCCGCCTGTGAGAATTATGGCAGACTCCACAGTGCTTAAACAGGTACGTGGCTTGAGAGGCATACCCAAGAAACGATCTGGAGAAAAGAAAAATTCTAATCCTTCAAGCAAAATACTTAGGCAAGTCCTGCTTTTTAGAACCAATTCTTCCTTCAGCATCTGCTGCAAACTGTACTTTGATATTGAGAATAATCTCACGCATTTTAATAACTCGGTAAACAAACATTCCCTTGCCAGAGCGTCGTGGTTCACCCACGAAACAATTGCATCGTATACATCTTCTTCCCTTGCAACAATTATTTCATCACGTGATATCATTTCTTTGACTTTATCAAAGTTCAACGTCTTAAAATCCTCTGATTTAACTACAGAAATGAAGTTCTGTAGTTTAAACTCAGACGCTGTCTGTTTTAACGACTCGCAACCATACTGATCTGCAAATGATTCCAGTGCAAGGCAGTTCGTTGCATCAATGCATTCTTCTAAATATTCCGACACCTTCGTCTTCAAGCGTGTAATAAGAAGGTAGTCTGCTATCTTGACCAAATCATGGGCGTTAGTGGCGTTCACCACTGCTTCACCTGTGTAAATGAACCGAAGGGCCTCGCTTAATACCGCAGGTTTAGTGTCTTCTAACACAATAGCGGAGTCTTTGTTTTCCTTAAACCCACTGGTAAAAAGTGAACGGAAGTACGGGCTTGCAGCTGAGAGAACACATCGGTGAGCTGCAAAGTTTTGCCCCTCGATTTGAAGCGTCACATCGCAGAGAGTATTGTCTTTCCTAAGCTCGTTTAGCTTATCAAGCAACTCTTCCTTAAAAGCCTTATCGCAAAGAACTTTCTCTTCCGCGTTTTGAACTGCAGTTGCTGCCATCTCCCAGAGCTTGATCCGCGACGCTGACCAAAAGGATCGAAGCCCTAGGAATGGCCCCATTCCCCCCAAGGGGTGTGGGTTCGCCAGGCTCTGCTGCCGCGAGGCAAAATGCGACTTTTATGGTTCCATGTCAGCAGAGGCCTCGCTTCACGGTATTCGGCGGGCGCGAATACGTGAAAAGAGGCTTCTGCCAGCAGGGAACTTTTATGGGGGAACCACAAAAAAATTTGAAAGGTCTTAGAAGACCTTCCATAACCTAATGCGCGAGCAGGCTTGTTTTTCTAACATTGCAGTAAATTACAATAAGGGAACAAAGGAAACAATGAGGGTAGACTTACGAAAATACGTCGTGTTCGAAGGCAAGCGTGACCGCTATGCCACGGCTTTAGGTCCCTTAGGGATGAAACAGTTGCAGTGTCAACCGAGTGATATGGTTGTTCAAATGTGCATGTTACTACTGAGGATCAATTTTTTGAATTACCATTCCTTTCAAATAGTTATCAAAATATTAAACTGAGTATGAGTGCATGGCAGCATATAAACCAAATGAATATTGCTGTTAACACGTTTCCTTCCTTTCTTGCAGCAGCCACCGTTTGTTATGGTAAATATGGCTGCTTCTCCGACAATCATCCATTCGACAGTTCCCTAATCGCCTTACCGTCACACCCGGAAACCATCGGCACAAAATTCATTTTATACACAGGGGCAAACGCCCTTAAGAACAAGGAAGTTCTTAGCGTTGACATCAACTCCTCAATTATCAACTCTACATTTGAACCCTCAAGAAAAGTCAAGTTTATTATCCATGGATTTACTCAAAGCGGCCAGAGTGAATGGGTCAAGAAAATGGTCCTTGAATTTCTCAAAAAGGAACCAATGAACGTTATTGTTGTAGACTGGGGACTAGGAGCCAGTGTCTTAAACCTGTACGACATCGCGGCCGGAAATACCCGCCTTGTTGGAGTACAATTGGCTGAATTGATGGACGCGCTTAACCGGACGTTTGGGGTGGCATTGAAGAAGTTTCACATCATTGGACACAGCTTGGGTGCACAAATAGCTGGATTCGCAGGTGAAAAACTGAGACAAAGTGGGAAAGTAATAGGACGAATTACAGGTACAGTTTCATAACACTACACTCACTTCTGATTGGTTTGTTCTCGTAAGGCGTTAGCATGTTTTCACCAGGAAATCTTCTTCTCCTTAGTTTTCTAGCATGCATGTGCCAAATAATATTAAGTGGTGACTATGCAAGTAAATTTTACTAAGCACTACTTTCCAAAGGTGCCGTTTATCTTATCCTCAAGAGTTTCTCTAACTCTTTGAGTCTGGGTAGAATTCTAAAAATAGACCATTCAAGTGAAAGCTACTGAGCAGTACTTTCCTATGGTATGGTTATTATGCTGTACAAGATGTTTAGACTGAGGATGAAATCCTAAAGTGTGACCATTTAAATGAAATCTGTTGAGCAGCACTTTCTTGTGGGTACTGTTTGCTGTACAAGGTTGTTCTGACACTTTTGAGGCTTTGGATCGGACGAAATCCTTAAGTGTGACCATTTAAATGAGACCTACTGGGCAGCATGTTCATGCGGTACAGTTTATTATGCTGTATTCAAAGTGACAATGTTTTTATTAAGCTATTTTGGTTAAATTCCTTCAGTGTTAGTATCTTTAGCTGTAATTTTTTATTGTTCTTGTAACTCATTGACTATTTTTAAATCAACACACAGGTCTAGATCCTGCCGCCCCAGGATTTGATTTCGATGACGCAGTTATCAGACTTGACCCAAGTGATGCAATGTTTGTTGATGTCATTCATAGTGACGTAAGAGATAGCGCTCTCAGTAAAGCTCTAGGATTACAGCGGCCTTGTGGTCACGTGGATTTTTACCCCAATGGCGGGAAACACCAGCCTGGATGTGACACATCAGACGTCATAGGAGGTAACAATAGGATGCATTAGGCTATGATGAGATTTTGGGAGTTTGATCTTCACTACATCTCGTCAACTGAGATCAAAATAGTGGGTCGAAGGCTCTAGATGTGAAGACACTAGAATGACAACAAATAGAATGCAAGGCTTATCGGTTAACTCGTTGTGTATATAGTTATCTTTTTATACAATTGCTCTAAGAATGATAATTTCATTTGGTCCGAGAACTCGTCGTTCGGAGCAAAAGGCCGAGGAGTTCTACGTCTACAAAAGCTTAGAATGCTTATGCGCAGTAGAACCGGAAGTTCCGAAGCACCAGCATTCCTGATCATATATAAGGGTGTACATTGAAAGTGTTCGTAACTGCAAGGTTTGCACAACATAAAAGTTGATTCGTGGCAATACAAAAATAGTGTACAAGGGCGGATTTAGGGGTGGGCCTAGGAGGCCCCCCCCCCCCTTTGTGGGTTATTAAATATTTCAGCATTACATGTTCAATGTGGAATCCAGGCATTTGCTAAATTTAAGCATCCAAAATGCACTAGATTGCATCTCGGCTTCTTAAAATCTTATTGAGCAATCACTTCAATCTCAAAAATTTTCCCGGAGAAGCATGCGCACGAAATTCCCGCGAAAAGTGCGCCGTTCGCACTATCGCGCCCATATTGCCACTGTATACTATATCTCTAGGCCCCCTCTATCACAAAATCCTCCGTCCGCCCTTGGTGTAGCCACATTACTACAGTTCACAAGTGCTGAAACCCACCTTCGCAAGACAGCCAACTATCCTCTTAAATGAAAATGTGGAATTATAGCTATTTCATATTTGATCTGTTTTCCAGGTGCAGTGGGTTCCTTCTTGGACAATGCGCAAGTTTCTTTGCCAGGGATTGTGGCCTGCAATCACATGAAGTCAGTGGCTTATTTCACTGCGTCAATCAGTAACGTGTGCACAATGACGGCCTTCCCATGTGGCAGTTGGCGAGACTTCCAGAAAGGAAAATGCTTGTCTTGTGAAGGCGCTTGCCCACAAATGGGATACAATGCTGACCAATATCGTACTAACAAGACCATATTAGCATTTCTGACAACAGACGAAAACGAGCCATTCTGTGGTATGTTGTAACTTATTAAAGAAAAGTAGATCTAATCTAAGCTTGTAGATCTGATATCTAAGAATACAGCCAATCAGAGGGCTATACCATTTCATATTCTTCGGTTTTCCGTGGTCGTCAGCAGTTGAGCGTAGGTGGTCTTCACTAAAATGTTATAAGTAGAGCTTGAAAAGTGACTTGCTTTCAGTACCTGTCGGTGATAAAGTTCATCCATTTTACTTCATGTGATAAGTAGCTTACGTTACATACTCACCTAAACAAATGCGTGTGTCATTCATAGGATATTTCACGGTATACCACATTTGAAAGCTGTAATAGTCCATTTTGCAGTTCAGTTACAGGTAAAAACGAGGCTAGAGTTGACCATGTTTTGATACAACCCTTCCTGCTTTATAAAGTAAATCATGTTGTTCTTATGCTAAGTAGTATTATTTAAGCTAAATTTGCATTAGAAAAGGGAGGAAGTTTGTATCAAAACAAGGTCAACCTCAGCCTCGCTTTCTCTCAAAGGCTGGGACACTAAGCCCACAACTATAAAATGCCTCATTGCAGAACTTGTGTCTATTGCTGCTCCAAAACAATGAATCGGCGGCCATGTTGGTGTCCTAAACCAATCCTTTGGGAGTTGAACTCTTTTCTTATGAAAACGCCTTCTTTTGTTCCAATGAATGTGAGTAGATGCTGGCCACGTGAGTGAAAAAGCTCTATAGCTCTATCCGTGTTACATCGTAGGTAATTTTTCCAGCATCATTCTGAAGACATTTTTCTCTCTGATTCATTGCAGTAAACAACTATTTTCGCATAACATTATTTTTGGAAGACAGAACTAAGCGTTTCTTCTTTGACATTTTGGACAACAAAATTAAAATCAAGTTAACGGGAATTAGTGGAAAGGTGGAGACAGATGAAGCAAGGTGAGAAAGAGTAATGGTATCAGTCAGTGACTGAAGCAATAGCCACGCGCGCGTGCATTGTGACTGCCATCCTTACAATCTTTTAGTTGTTCTAGTTAAAAAGACATGACTGAGAAAAAATCACTGCGACGAGAATTGCACATGCAACAGCGCGCGTAACAGTCTTTTTAAACTCGTTTTTAAACATTTTGCATGTTGGTCCAACTTCATTTAACATTGTTAGCTGCAAGGCATCATATATAAAACCTTGTTGGCTGGTGTTGGATGTTTTATTGGGGCTGTTGAGATGGATTCAACATCATTTAACGATATTGGAACAACATATTTGATGCTCTTAAACTGGCCCTTAGCACAGGCGGGAGCGTATTGGCGCATAAAGAAGCCTTCTGAGTTAGTGGCTATGATCTTAGGTAAGGTATACATGTATACGATTCGCTCAGTATGTTTCAACATCTTTTTCAGAGAGGTTGAATTTGGAAAAGAAAGTTTTGTTCTTTCATCGTCTCGCAGCATTGGAAAATTACGCTCCATCGAGGTGCAGTTCAAGGGTACAGGGATGTATTTGAAGAAAGTTTTTGTATACTCCAAAGCCGAAGAAAAAAGGTAAGAAAGAAATCTCTCAATGAGCCATACTCAATGCGACAAAATGGCGGGAAAAGGATCCCTGAAACGCGACCTTAATTTTCCCTTTGATTTCTTTCCATCCATCTTCAATTATCTTTAGATTCGTTCTTGTTTTGACGCTCCCACTTTTCTTTAAAAAGCAGCAAAGAAATTGTGGGTAGCGTAAAGGGTAGGGAAAAAGAAAGCGGAGACAGATCCTGCGCTAGTGCCACCACTGCGATTCTAGCCTGCGAAGCATGGCAGTTTTGCTGCTGCGCGCAAACAAGTAAAGGTGAGCGAGGGCGGTGAAAGTGCGAGGAGATTGGGACGGAAGCAACGAGAAGGCTTTTATTTTCTTGCGGCTTCGCCGCTCGTTCGCGCGAGCTTTTGCAGCTTCGCCACTCAGTATTGCGCCCGACGTAACCGCCATGCTACGCAGGCTACTGCAATACAATATTGTCCCAGTGTGGGAGATATATTAGTCACAGTACAGCGGAGAAAAGAGGCAAAGACAGAGCCTGGGTATTTGTTTGCAATTTGTCGCAGAAAAAGAGAGGCCAGATATTGACTAGTTAATAAATGGTCAAAATAATAATTTCATTGGTTTTTGTTCTGCCCTTCAAGGTACAAAGCATGCTTTCATGAGCACCTAGGGAGTTACCTAGCATATATACAATTCACGTCCTACTCCAGAAACCTAGTGGAAGGAACACACGAATGTTAACTGTCTAAGGTGCGTAACACCGCGTGCTAACGCCTAACAGACGTAAAGGTAATTCTCTGAAATAGAACCTGCAGATAGATTTTTGCCACTCTTTACCGACTGGTTGTTTGTGTTGTGGAAACGTAAATGTTAAAATAAGAACGGGAGTTCCCCGTACTCGTTTAAGTCCTGGAGCAACTTGTATAAACCCAATGATTCCTTAAAATACCATTATGATTACATTTAGGTTTTATTGGTCCATACGATTCCTTTGAATATATTTCTACACCGCGGTTTAAGCTGTCAACCACGATTCACTGCCCAACAAAATTTTCTTAAATAAATGATTGTAACGTTTAGTTTTTGTGTTCTCTGCAGAAACAAGACCAGGATACTAAAAGATCCAGAAATATGACAACATGGACGGCGAGTAAATAGTTTGCCTTACCACGTGATGCGTGGCTACTAAGCTTTATTATATTACACAATGACAATCGTTGTTGTAATTTTATTTGACTCAATTATTTCTAAAATGTTAAAACTGCAACCAGAAATGAACAATAAAAACATATAAGACGTGTCATTTAAAACTAACCTTATCGCTCGGGTTTTTTATTTTCCCTCCTCCGCCCTTTTTAACCTACTCCTCCCCCGCTAACTCAGATGAAAAAAAAACGTCCCTCGGAACTATTTTGCTTCAAAGGAGGCTAGAAGAATAATGATTGATTATTTTACAAGACAGTTTTAAATACTTGTTGCTAATACCTTTTACAGTGTAAAAGAGTATACATTTCAAAAAGCTGAAATAATAAATACCAGTTAGTCCCAACGGAGAAGTAAAAACTTCCGATATTATTTTACGTAAAACCAGTACATTCAACACGGTAGACAGATGTTGCAGAATCTGAAGGGAAGATAAGAAACTACTCGAATAACTGTACAGACAGATCTAACGCCATATTATATCTTAGAATTAATGAATGACTTAGAAAGGCGAAATGACTGGGGAAAATTAGGGGTTTTGTAACTTCCCCCTCTTTTTGCTCATGCCCGACAATATTTTTCGATTCATTCTTCCGCTGTTACTTGCATCTCCCTATGATCTTTAACGTAACCATCAAGCCACTGCTTGTGTGATATTAAACATTTACAGACGTTTTAGTATTGATATAAAATTATTGACATTAAAATTAATAGAGCACTGTAAAGTTGTATGTTATGAAAAGATTTATAAATATGAAAGGGTGTTCTTCAAATAATATCAACAGAAATTTGATTCAATAACCAAAAAACGTTGATTCAAATCGATAGCTCCAATTTCGCTATGTAATTCTGGCTTGATAAGCAATGGAGAAATGCATACATACATGTAAAATCGAGAACATGCCTTTATAACCCTCTACAATTTATTCCTGTCCTTGACAGATGAGCCAATCTGCTTTTTTTCCAGTAAAACCTTCTGTGTAGTTATATTCTGATAGGAAACCGCGTGCGTGTCAAAAGCTCGCGAAGGGCCCGGGGGGTTGCTGGGCGCAGGTGGAATTGACTGATGCATTTATTTAACAATAGTGTTCACTTCTATTCTGCTGACAGGGGTCACAGTCTTGAACAGTCCTTGAATTTTAGGGGAAGTCCTTGAAAAGTCCTTGAATTCCATTTTTCCTTGAAAAGTCCTTGAATTTTCTTCATCTTTGAATTTAGTGGCACGGAAAGTGTTTTTTCATGATTTTTGTTGTCCAAAACAGAATATGAATCATAGCTCAGAGCATTTAAAGGTTATTTACACAAAGTGCTCAATGTTTTATGCAATAACTCCCAAGGGGGGTACTCGGGATTTCAAGTGAGAGGGGGTTTGAAATTTTCGATCCCGGGATTCTTTTGGGTACGAAAATTTGGCTTGGGTAGCTTGATTTGAGTAGGGTTTTTTTTTTTTTTTTTGGGGGGGGTATTAAGAAGAATCGGTAATGCCCTGGCTGCGTAGTTCTGCGAATAAAGTACAAACAAACGTGTTTTGCTGCTGTTAAATAGTTAACTATGGTGTCGCTTTACATCGCACGTGTTATACAATAGTCTGCAGAAATCGGCATGGGATTTTTTGGGGGTTAATTTTTGGTCCAGGGATTTTTTGGGGTTTTGCTGGAAGCCCTTGGGATTTATTTGGGTCTTGACTTTTGGCTCCATTCGATCATCCCCGTCACTTGAGATCCCGAGTACCCCCCCTGGGCAATAACTAGAATTAACTATCAATTTAAGAGAGGTGAACTGAAAAATGTGGAGAAGTTGGTGACGCAAACACTTCAAGCCTTACAGCCTTATAAGAAAGAACTGGAAATGTACACTTTTGTACAATCTGTGAAATAATATTCCTAGTAGGTGGTCCTTGAAAATCTAATGGGGTCCTTGAAAAGTCCTTGAAAAATGGTTGCAGTTTTTTGTATGAACCCTGGCTGAGTTCGTACACTTCACATCTGAATTGATAGATAAAAACAGTAACCAATACAAAAAGGGGATTAGTAGCATACTGTTGATCCCAATACAGTTTTTGAGATGCATAAAAAAATGGAAAAACTTTTGCTACTGGTCAAGACAGGAGCCTTAACTTGTGGTCTCCATTTAAACACTTTACTGAAGAAAGAAGGTACCATTTAAGCTCACTCACTTCACAAATGTGTCTAAAAACTTTTTTGACAACAGCAGCAGTGAGGCTTGAACACAGGCAAGCTTTCTAGGCATGGTACCACATAGCTTCCATTTGTCATTTTGGACATCGTAACACTCAACACTGTCATATTTGCAATAAGTACGATCTTCTCCCCCAAACAGATACAGGTGATTATCAAAACTGACCATAGCACATGCTGCTCGAGGCACAACTGGACTAGACACCAGGCTCCATTGGTCTTGTACAGGGTCAAACATTTCACAGCTTCCCTCTACACTTATGAATTGTGTGTCACTGTATCCTCCAGCAATGAAAATTTTTCCACACGAAACAGCTGCACCAGCAAATTGTCGTGCAACATTCATACTTGGTCTGTCAGTCCAATGATTAGTTGATGCATTAAAACATTCAATGCTTTTATGACAAACATTGTTATCACAACCACCAAGGACATAGATAAGGTTTTCCACAACAACAGCACAGTGAGACGCGCGTGAAGTTTTCATTGAGGCAACTTCCTTCCATTCATCAAGTCCGGGATCATATTTGTCGACTCTGTTCAAATGCCTGTCGCCACCTATCACATAAAGGTTTCCATGAAGAGAGGTAACTGAACAATGTTGACGAATTGGTGCTGTTGTTTCAGTTGGAAACCACTTGTTTTGGTTGGGATTATAGATGCACATTGGGTGAGATGCCTGGCCACCAACTACATACAACTGACCACAACACACTGCAGTCCCATGACGTGTACGAGAGAATGGCATAGAGGGTAGGGATGCCCATTGATTCTTGGACAGCAGAAAACAATAGGCATTATTGGACACGTCAGCATCATGTCCCCCGGTAATAATTACAGCCAATTCATTCATTCTTAAGCATGTTCGTGGTTGAAGCCTCGTGCTTAGGAAACTATCTGGAAAGAAAAAAAAATTAATTGCTTCAAATATGATACTTGCACAAGTCCTACTTTTAATGACCAGTTCTTCTTTTGCAATTTCCGCAATTCCACTCTTTGACATCGAGAAAAATCTCAAGCATTTCAGTAACTCAGGAAAGAGTTTCTCCCGTGACGGAACATTATGCTTCACCCACGTGACAACAGCTTCGTAGACTTCTTCTTCCTTCGAAACGATTATATCGTCATGGAACACAAGTTCCTTTATTCGTTCAAAATCGAGAGCTTTAAAATCATCCGCTTCCACCATAGACACGAAATTCTGAAGCTTATAAGCAGCTGCAGCCTCTTTAAGTGATTTACAACCGTAGTGAATAGCAAGCGATTCCAGTTCTAGGCAATTTGAGGCATGAATAGTATCCTTTAAGTAACCTGCCACTTTAGCCTTCAAGCTCGGAATGATCAGATAGTCTGCTGTCCTAAGCAGATCTTGAGCGTTACTGGCATTTACCAAAGCTTCACCAGTGTAAATAAAACGAAGCGCTTGGTCCACGGTGGTAGTTTTTATCTCTTGTAACTCCACAACGTTGTCTTGATTTTCTTTAAACCCACTGGTAAAGAGAGATCGGAAGTATGGGCTTGCAGCTGAGAGAACGCAGCGATGTGCAGCGAAGTCCTGCCCTTCGATTCGAAGTGTTACATCACAAAGAACGTTGTCTTTTCTAAGTTCGTGTAACTTGAAAAGTAATTTATCTTTAAAATCCTGGTTAAATATTAGTTCCTCTCTGACGCTTCTCGCCTCTGTCGTCGCCGCCATTTTGGATTTCACCGACGATACCTTTTTTTGCTAGTCCCAGTCTTCTTTACTCGTCACCCTGTGCGCTATACAGCAGACTACCGTTTTGTGTCTTAGGGCCTGTTTACATGGAGTGGGGGACCCCGGTCTAGTGGGGTAAGTTTCTTTTGTTTTCACGCTCTGGGGGACACAAAGCAAAAGAAACTTACCCCACTAGACCGGGGTCCCCCACTCCATGTAAACAGGGTCTTAGACAGAAGAGAGGAGACCAGGGTAACCTGAGATCAGTGGTACGTATGTGGATACTGCGCTTGTAAAAATGGATAATATTGGGGACCAGGGAAGGTGCAAATAAGAGAGCATTGGCGCTCATTTTTAAAAGGAACTATTGTATTCAGTTTTCCACTTTTATAGTCAAAGAAAGACTTTCGATCTCCGTGGGGCTGGGAACTCCCATGGAAATGAGCGGGGATAATCCGCGTCTCGTTTAAGAGTGTTTGAAGATTTTGGTATTTAAAAAGCGTGTTCAGGATGCCAATATTTTCAAAGTACTTTATGCAACATAAATAATTTTATTATATTAACTTAACGTATACGTTTCTTCAAGAATTCATTCGAAAACAAATTGTGTTTTGACCAGAATGAAATTTTTTAGAAAATTTCAAAGTCTAAGGTTTTTTTTGGTACCCGTTCCGCTGATCACGAAATTGGCTCATGTGTGACATCATGAGGTATAAATTCAAGAGCTACAAGAAAGTACAAGATAAATGTGTTCCATGAAAGAACTCCAACTACTGTTAAAGGCACTGTTTAATACTTTCAATGCTCCTCTGTAAATCAGTAAAATGTACTAGTACTTAAGATTGATTCATATTTATGAAAAAAGCTTAGTATTTACAGTTTTTAACTATAAAAAATTGCGATAAAACATTTCTTAAAATCATTTTAAGATTAAAAATTGCTAAAAAGCGACGACGTTTCGACGTTAGCTGAACGTCATTATCAAGTCAAAATAAGTTAGTGATTTTTGGTCTATAAATACTAAAAAAAAACCAACAATAGCTGATTAAAAAATTGTAACGTGAGAAAATATTAAACAAAGAGTTTCGCACGTATGTTTAATATTTTCTCACGTTACAATTTTTTAATCAGCTATTGTTGTTTTTTTTTAGTATTTATAGACCAAAAATCACTAACTTATTTTGACTTGATAATGACGTTCAGCTAACATCGAAACGTCGTCGCTTTTTAGCAATTTTTAATCTTAAAATGATTTTAAGAAATGTTTTATCGCAATTTTTTATAGTTAAATGCTTTTCAAAATCACTTCTTGTTCGTATTTACAGTTTACTTGTTTATTACTTGGCATTTACATTGCCTCTTCTTGTACTTTAACAACAAGATGGTAAAATTTAAGCTAAGTGATAAAATTGAAGAAATGCTTTTAACCCTTTAAGCCCTTAGAGTGATCAGCATCAAATTTCTCCCTGTAATACCAATGCTTTGTAAAACAGAGTGGTCATGAGAATTGCAGACATGATCACACAAGACGAATTTGCTTGATATTTTATCAACTACTCCCCACTACTTCTACAGGAAATGAACAGGGGCAACAAATGAGAATTCAAAGTTTGATCTTAGGGTTTAAAGGGTTAAATACTGTTCAACATTAGGTAAACTTCTGTATTCCCAGTGGTAATCTTGCTAATCTGCATAGCTGGTGGAATTTATAGCCGCCAAAAAACTGCACCACTCCCCTGCTACAGATTGTAATCCCACCAGCTGCAAAGGATATAACCTAGCACACTACTATGATGTGCTTTCATGCAACATCTTTCTTTATTCAAACCTCCAAGTTGCGACCATTTTAGTCGTCATGGCGCCTAAAATTTTGAAGCTGGCGACTTGATTTGTAAAAAAGTCTCCCTAAACCAAAAGAATTGGTCGCCAAATGGCGACCAAGCAAAAACTTTAACTTTGAGGGTTGTTATTGTTGGTGAATCACAGAACATCTAAGATATGCACAGTCTAAAGACAAAACAACATACAGTTCAATATTTCAATAAAAATAGAGTAGCAGTATTACTGTGTTTCAAATGTGTCTAAATCATTTATGTATTTTTTTGGCAACAACAGCAGTGAAGCTTGAACGCAGGCAAGCTTTCCTGGCATGGTACCACATAGCTCCCATTTGTTGTTTTTGACATCATAACACTCAACACTGTCATGTTTGGACCAGTCAGCATCTTCTCCACCAAATAAGTACAAGTAATCATCAAAACTGATCATAGCACATGCTGCTCGAGGCACAACAGGACTAGACACCAGGCTCCACTGGTCCTGTAGAGGGTCAAACATTTCACAAGTTGCCTCCAAGGTTTTGCATGCCTTGTCACTGTACCCTCCAGCAACAAAAATCTTTCCACATAAAACAGCTGCACCAGCAAATTGCCTTGCAACAATCATATTTGGCCTGTCAGCCCAATGATTAGCTGATGAGTTAAAGCACTCAACATTTTTAAGGCACCCACTGTAGCCACAACCACCAAGGACATAGATAAGGTTTTCCACAACAACTGCGCAGTGAGAGGCACGAGCAGTTTTCATTGATGCGACTGCCTTCCATTCATCAAGACTTGGATTATACTTATCAACCCTTTTCAAATGTTTGTCACCACCTATAACATATAGTTCTTCATTAAGTGCAGTCACAGAACAGTGCTGTCGGATTGCAGCTTCTCCCTCCATAACAGTCCACTTGTTTTTTATCGGATTAAAGGTGCATGCTGGTGGTTCTGGCTTCCCACCTACTACATACAACTGCCCACAACATACTGCAGCCCCATGACGTGTACGAGGAAATGGCATCTTGGGTAGGGAGACCCAACTGTTTTTGGACAATAAATAGCAGTGGGTGTTAACTCTGACCTTTTGATCTAGTCCAATTCTTTCAGTGTGTCCTCCTGTAAGAATTATAACAGGTTCCATCATGCTTAAGCACGCACGTGGCTTGAGAGACAAGCTTAAGAAACAGTCTGGAGAAAAGAAAAAGTTCAATCCTTCATGTAAAATACTTAGGCAAGTCCTGCTTTTTAGAACCAATTCTTCCTTCAGTATCTGCTGCAAACTGTACTTTGATAGTGAGAATAATCTCAGGCATTTTAATAACTCAGAAAACAAACATTCCCTTGACAGAGTATCGTGCTTCACCCATGAAACAATTGCTTCATACACATCTTCTTCCTTGGAAACAATTATTTCGTCGTGTGATATCAGTTGTTTGACTTTTTCAATGTTCAATGTCTTAAAATCTTCTGATTTAACTACAGAAATAAAGTTTTTAAGATTAAACTCAGACGCTGCCTGTTTTAACGACTCGCAGCCAAACTGATCTGCAAATGATTCCAGTGCAAGGCAGTTTGTTACATCAATGCATTCTTCTAGATATTTCGACACCTTCGTCTTCAAGCGTGGAATAATAAAGTAGTCTGCTATCTTGACCAAGTCTTGCGCGTTAGTGGCGTTCACCAGTGCTTCACCTGTGTAAATGAACCGAAGGGCTTCGCTTAATACCGCAGGTTTAGTGTCTTGCAACACAATAGTGAAGTCTTTGTTTTCCTTAAACCCACTGGTAAAAAGTGAACGGAAGTACTGGCTTGCAGCTGAGAGAACACATCGGTGTGCAGAAAAGTTTTGCCCCTCGATTTGAAGCGTCACATCGCAGAGAGTATTGTCTTTCCTAAGCTCGTTTAGCTTATCAACCAACTCTTCCGTAAAAGCCTTATCGCAAAGAACTTTCTCTTCCGCGTTTTGAACTGCAGTTGCTGCCATCTCGTTCCTAGAAATGAATGCGTGACAAACGAACCCTAAAGGACGTCTGCGGGGAGGGGCGGGGAGGCTATCTCGTTCGATCTCGTTCCCAGAGCTTGATCCGCGACGCTGACCAAAAGGATCGAAGCTCTAGGATATTCGGCGGGCGGGAATTAGGTGAAAAGAGGCTTCTGCCAGCAGGGAACTTTTATGGGGGAACCAAAAAAATTTGAAAGGTCTTAGAAGACCTTGCATAACCTAATCCGCAAGCAGGCTTGTTTTTCTAATATTGCAGTAAATTACAGTAAGGGAACAAAGGTAACAATGAGGGTAGACTTACGAAAATACGTCGTGTTCGAAAGCAAGCGTGACCGCTATGCCACGCCTATAAGTCCTTTAGGGATGAAACAGTTGCAGTGTCAACCGAGTGATATGGTTGTTCAAATGTGCATTTTACTACTGAGGACCAATTTTTTGAATGACCATTCCTTTCAAATAGTTATCAAAATATTAAATCGGGTATGAGTGCATGGCAGCATATAAACCAAATGAATATTGCTGTTAACACGTTTCCTTCTTTTCTTGCAGCAGCCACCTTTTGTTATGGTAAATATGGCTGCTTCTCCGACAATCATCCATTCGACAGTTCCCTAATCGCCTTACCGTCACACCCGGAAGCCGTCGGCACAAAGTTTATTTTATACACAAGGGCAAACGCCCTTAAGAACAAGGAAGTTCTTAGCGTTGACATCAATTCCTCAATTATCAACTCTACATTTGAGCCCTCAAGAAAAGTCAAGTTTATTATCCATGGATTTACTCAAAGCGGCCAGAGTGAATGGGTCAAGAAAATGGTCCTTGAATTTCTCAAAAAGGAACCAATGAAAGTTATTGTTGTAGACTGGGGACTAGGAGCCAGTGTCTTAAACCTGTACGACATCGCGGCTGGAAATACTCGCCTTGTTGGAGTACAATTGGCTGAATTGATTGACGCGCTTAACCGAACGTTTGGGGTGGCATTGAAGAAGTTTCACATCATTGGACACAGCTTGGGTGCACAAATAGCTGGATTCGCAGGTGAAAAACTGAGACAAAGTGGGAAAGTGATAGGACGAATAACAGGTACAGTTCTATAACACTACTCTCACTTCTGATTGGTTTTTTCTGGTAAGGTGTTAGCATGTTTTCACCATTATTATGCTGTACAAGATGTTGAGGCTGAGGATGAAATCCTAAAGTGTGACCATTTAAATGAAATCTGTTGAGCAGCAATTTCTTGTGGGTACTGTTTGCTGTACAAGGTGGTTCTGACACTTTTGAGGCTGTGGATCGGATGAAATCCTTAAGTGTAACCATTTAAATGAGACCTACTGGGCAGCATGTTCTTGCGGTACAGTTTATTATGCTGTATTCAAAGTGACAATGTTTTTATTAAGCTATTTTGGTTAAATTCCTTCAGTGTTAGTATCTTTAGCTGTAATTTTTTTATTGTTCTTGTAACTCATTAACTATTTTTAAATCAACACACAGGTCTAGATCCTGCCGCCCCAGGATTTGATTTCGATGACGCAGTTATCAGACTTGACCCAAGTGATGCAATGTTTGTTGATGTCATTCATAGTGACGTAAGAGATGGCGCTCTCAGTAAAGCTCTAGGATTACAGCGGCCTTGTGGTCACGTGGATTTTTACCCCAATGGCGGGAAACACCAGCCTGGATGTGACACATCAGACGTCATAGGAGGTAACAATAGGATGCATGAGGCTATGATGAGATTTTGGGAGTTTGATCTTCACTACATCTCGTCAACTGAGATCAAAATAGTGGGTCGAAGGCTCTAGATGTGAAGACACTAGAATGACAACAAATAGAATGCAAGGCTTATCGGTTAACTGGTTGTGTATATAGTTATCTTTTTTATACAATTGCTCTAAGAATGATAATTTCATTTGGTCCGAGAACTCGTCGTTCGGAGCAAAAGGCCGAGGAGTTCTACGTCTACAAAAGCTTAGAATGCTCATGCGCAGTAGAACCGGAAGTTCCGAAGCACCAGCATTCCTGATCATATATAAGGGTGTACATTGAAAGTGTTCGTAACTGGAAGGTTTGCACAACATAAAAGTTGATTCGTGGCAATACAAAAATAGTGTACAAGGGCGGATTTAGGGGTGGGCCTGGGGGGCCCCCGCCCCCCCCCCCTTTTGTGGTTTATTAAATATTTCAGCATTACATGTTCAATGTGGAATCCAGGCGTTTGCTAAATTTAAGCATCCAAAATGCACTAGATTGCATCTCGGCTTCTTAAAATCTTATTGAGCAATCACTTCAATCTCAAAAATTTTGCCGGAGGAGCATGCGCACGAAATTCCCGCGAAAAGTGCGCCGTTCGCACTATCGCGCCCATATTGCCACTGTATACTATATCTCTAGGTCCCCTCTATCACAAAATCCTCCGTCCGCCCTTGGTGTAGCCACATTACTACAGTTCACAAGTGCTGAAACCCACCTTCGCAAGACAGCCAACTATTCTCTTAAATGAAAATGTAGAATTATAGCTATTTCATATTTGATCTGTTTTCCAGGTGCAGTGGGTTCCTTCTTGGACAATGCGCAAGTTTCTTTGCCAGGGATTGTGGCCTGCAATCACATGAAGTCAGTGGCTTATTTCACTTCGTCAATCAGTAACGTGTGCACAATGACGGCCTTCCCATGTGGCAGTTGGCGAGACTTCCAGAAAGGAAAATGCTTGTCTTGTGAAGGCGCTTGCCCACAAATGGGATACAACGCTGACCAATATCGTACTAACAAGACCATATTAGCATTTCTGACAACAGACGAAAACGAGCCATTCTGTGGTATGTCAGTGTAACTTATTACGGAAAAGTAGATCTTATCTAAGCGTGTAGATCTGGTATTTAAGAATACAGCCAATCAGAGGGCTACACCATTTCATATTCTGCGGTTTTGCGCAGTCGTCAACAGTTGAACGTAGGTGGGTCTTCTCTAAAATGGTATAGTATAACTAGAACTTGAAAAGTGACTTGCTTCCAGTACCTGTTGCGATAAAGTTCATCCATTTTACTTCGTCATGTGATAAGTAGCTTACGTTACATACTCACCTAAACAAATGCGTGTGTCATTCATAGGATATTTCACGGTATACCACATTTGAAAGCTGTAATAGTCCATTTTGCAGTTCAGTTACAGGTAAAAACGAGGCTAGAGTTGACCATGTTTTGATACAACCCTTCCTGCTTTATAAAGTAACTCATGTTGTTCTTATGCTAAGTAGTATTTTTTAAGCTAAATTTGCATTAGAAAAGGGAGGAAGTTTGTATCAAAACAAGGTCAACCTCAGCCTCGCTTTCTCTCAAAGGCTGGGACACTAAGCCCACAACTATAAAATGCCTTATTGCAGAACTTGTGTCTATTGCTGCTCCAAAACAATGAATCGGCGGCCATGTTGGTGTCCTAAACCAATCCTTTGGGAGTTGAACTCTTTTCTTATGAAAACGCCTTCTTTTGTTCCAATGAATGTGAGTAGATGCTGGCCACGTGAGTGAAAAAGCTCTATAGCTCTATCCGTTTTACATCGTAGGTAATTTTTCCAGCATCATTCTGAAGACATTTTTCTCTCTGATTCATTGCAGTAAACAACTATTTTCGCATAACCTTATTTTTGGAAGACAGAACTAAGCGTTTCTTCTTTGACATTTTGGACAACAAAATTAAAATCAAGTTAACGGGAATTAGTGGAAAGGTGGAGACAGATGAAGCAAGGTGAGAAAGAGTAATGGTATCAGTCAGTGACTGAAGCAATAGCCACGCGCGCGTGCATTGTGACTGCCATCCTTACAATCTGTTAGTTGTTCTAGTTAAAAAGACATGACTGAGAAAAAATCACTGCGACGAGAATTGCACATGCAACAGCGCGCGTAACAGTCTTTTTAAACTCGTTTTAAAACATTTTGCATGTTGGTCCAACTTCATCTAACATTGTTAGCTGCAAGGCATCATATCAAAACCTTGTTGGCTGGTGTTGGATGTTTTATTAGGGCTGTTGAGATGGATTCAACATCATTTAACGATATTGGAACAACATATTTGATGCTTTTAAACTGGCCCTTAGCACAGGCGGGAGCGTATTGGCGCATAAAGAAGCCTTCTGAGTTAGTGGCTATGATCTTAGGTAAGGTATACATGTATACGATTCGCTCAGTATGTTTCAACATCTTTTTCAGAGAGGTTGAATTTGGAAAAGAAAGTTTTGTTCTTTCATCGTCTCGTAGCATTGGAAAATTACGCTCCATCGAGGTGCAGTTCAAGGGTACAGGGATGTATTTGAAGAAAGTTTTTGTATACTCCAAAGCCGAAGAAAAAAGGTAAGAAAGAAATAAATCCCCCAATGAGCCGTACTCAATGCGACAAAATGGCGGGAAAAGGATCCCTGAAACGCGACGTTAATTTTCCTTTTGATTTCTTTCCATCCATCTTCAATTATCTTTAGATCCGTCCTTGTTTTGACGCTCCCAGTTTTCTTTAAAAAGCAGCAAAAAATTGTGGGTGGCGTAAAGGGTAGGGACAAAGAAAGCGGAGACAGATCCTGCGCTAGTGCCACCACTGCGATTCTAGCCTGCGAAGCATGACAGTTTTGGTGGGGCGCGCAAACAAGTAAAGGTGCGCGAGGGCGGTGAGAGTGCGAGGAGATTGTGGCGGGAGCGACGAGAAGGCTATTATTTTTCTCGCGGGTTCGCCGCTCGTTCGAGCGGGTTTTTGCAGCTTCGCCACTCAGTCTTGCACCCGACGAAACCGCCATGCTACGCAGGCTACTGCAGTACAATATTGTCCCAGTGTGGGAGATATATTAGTCACAGTACAGCGGAGAAAAGAGGCAAAGACAGAGCCTGGGTATTTGTTTGCAATTTGTCGCAGAAAAAGAGAGGCCAGATATTGACTAGTTAATAAATGGTCAAAATAATAATTTCATTGGTTTTTGTTCTGCCCTTCAAGGTACAAAGCATGCTTTCATGAGCACCTAGGGAGTTACCTAGCATATATACAATTCACGTCCTACTCCAGAAACCTAGTGGAAGGAACACACGAATGTTAACTGTCTAAGGTGCGTAACACCGCGTGCTAACGCCTAACAGACGTAAAGGTAATTCTCTGAAATAGAACCTGCAGATAGTTTTTTGCCACTCTTTACCGACTGGTTGTTTGTGTTGTGGAAACGTAAATGTTAAAATAAGAACGGGAGTTCCCCGTACTCGTTTAAGTCCTGGAGCAACTTGTATAAACCCAATGATTCCTTGAAATACCATTATGATTACATTTAGGTTTTACTGGTCCATAAGATTCCTTTGAATATATTTCTACACCACGGTTTAAGCTGTCAACCACGATTCACTGCCCAACAAAATTTTCTTAAATAAATGATTGTAACGTTTAGTGTTTGTGTTCTCTGCAGAAACAAGACCAGGATACTAAAAGATCCAGAAATATGACAACATGGACGGCGAGTAAATAGTTTGCCTTACCACGTGATGCGTGGCTACTAAGCTTTATTATATTACACAATGACAATCGTTGTTGTAATTTTATTTGACTCAATTATTTCTAAAATGTTAAAACTGCAACCAGAAATGAACAATAAAAACGTATAAGACGTGGTGTTCAAAACTAACCTTATCCCTCGGGTTTTTTATTTTAATCTCCTCCTCTCCCACTAACTTAGATGCAAAGACGTCCCTCGGAACTATTTTGCTTCAAAGGAGGCTAGAAGAATAATGATTGATTGTTTTAAAAGACAGTTTTAAATACTTGTTGCTAATACCTTTTACAGTGCAAAAGAGTACATTTCAAAACGCTGAAATAATAAATACCAATTAGTCCCAACGGAGAAGTAAAAACTTCCGATATTATTTTACTTAAAAACAGTACATTTAACACGGTAGACGGATGTTACAGAATCTGGAGGGAAAATAAGAAACTACTCGAATAACTGTACAGACAGATCTAACACCATATTATATCTTAGAATTAAAAAAATGACTTACAAAGGTGAAAAGACTAGGAAAAAGACTAGGGGTTTAGTAACTTCCCCCTCTTTTTGCTCATGCCCGCCACTATTTTTCGATTCATTCTTCCGCTGTTACTTGCATCTCCCAATGATCTTTACTGTAACGTAACCATCAAGCCACTGGTTGTGTGATATTAAACATTTACAGAAGGAAAGCTGTAAATTAAAAAACCGTCCGTATTCAGTCTCCATTAGTTTAAGCTGGACTAAGTTTCACTCGCTCTTTTCCGCCACTTTTCGGACCACTTTTCGCATCAGGTCCCTGAAAATAAACAGAAATAAATTAAAGGGATACAAATGCCAGCTGGTAACAATTCAACAGCTTGCTGACAGCTGCCTGTACACTTGCGAGAATGTGGTTGCCCCAATTTTCGTTTTCGATTCAGTAGTTCTTGCAGAAGCAACGCTTTTCACCGCGCCAAAAATAATATTGTATTATGAAACACGATTCTTTCAACTAAAAACTTCTCTGACCTCCTAGGTAAAAACTCTTAGGTATTTGTCACGCGTTTGACGGCTTCAGTTCTCCCTCACGAACGTTCGGGGCTGAGAGGGAAAGGTGTAACAGTAACCAGAAGCACATTTCACTGGACTGACCCTCTTGTTCGTGTGCGTACCTGATTAAAGTGAGTTTGTCCTCCATTGATTCCCATGGACTTCGCTCATCACTATACTCTAGCATCTCTACACATATAAGAACGAAGCAAAAAAATAAATACCACTCAAAATGACGCCAAGTCCCATATACCTACATGCTCCTTCTCAAAGCCCATTTCGTGTTATTACCACATAAGACGCGCGGGTGCTTAAAAGAGCGGAAAAGAAAGTGAGCGAGGTAAGATGGGTTTCGCTTCTCTTATCCTGCCTGTATGCGCGCCCTCTTTTGTTTTCCGCTTTAATGAATTCGACTGCTCACTGAAATGGCCTCTCGTTTTCTAATCATGGCCTCTCACCTCACAAGCAGGATTCCGAGAATTAAAGCAATTGTTTCTTCTCACTTTATTTCAGTTCTCTCCATTCACAAATATATTCTGATTAGTCTCCTATGCGATTAGTAATAACATACATAGCACTTTTTCATGCCCCCCCTTTTTCGGAAGTTTTTTATATCGAATTAGACTGGTGCTAAACAAGACGAAAGATGAGCGATCTGTAAATTATAACTTACCTTTAGCGAGCATAGTTTCGCTAACTCGATCGCCTTCTTGGTAATATTTGACTCGGAGATTCTACAGTAAAAAGAGGACAGACAACGTAGTCAATTTGTACACTGCCTTTACGATGTTCTTCAGTTCGGGGCAAACGAGATTGGGCAACGCCACGATACAATAAAATTAATACAGAAAAAGAGCAATAGGGATGTTTAGAAAAGGCTGCGCGTCGTCATTCACTGGACTGCTAGTTATAAAAGAGCGCCGGTTAAATTATAAGCCCTTTGTTACCCTCAAGGACGTAAAAACTTACAAATCTAGCAAATCTGCTGTGCTCCAAGCGAGTGATGATGATCATTCTATCGACAGCGTACTGCAGCTTGGCGTTCTTCTTAGCTTCACTGTAAGTGAAACTAAGCTGAGCGATGAGAACATTGAGAAGAATGACAATAACCATGGCCATGTAGGCAAGAAGAATAAGGATTGCCAGCCAGCTGTGAAAAAAAAAAAAAAAGAAAAAATAGAAAATATTACAGTGGGCGTTACAATGACACAAAAAAGTCTCTCGAATCTCAAAGCCGTGCACGGTTGTTTCTCTTCTGTGTATTAACAATTTCGTACGAATAACGTTAACCTACATAACGAGCGTATGCTGTAGTAAAGCTATATAACGAGCGTATACTCTAGTAAAGCTAGATAACGAGCGTATACTCTAGTAAAGCTAGAAAACGAGCGTATACTCTAGTAAAGCTAGATAATGAGCGTATACTCTAGTAAAGCTAGATAACGAGCGTATACTCTACATACACTTTAAAATGCAGTACAAGGTGGATTCCCTCCTATTGCCATTACCTGAACTTAGAATAGTCTTCTTCTACGGGTTGCTGTTCAACAAGAGCTCTTACAGCGGCCAGCATCAACCAGAAGTAATTCCTGGAAAAAAGAAGAAAAATAAAACGCAAGATTAGTGTACCTGCAAACATAAACGTCAAGCCAGAAATGATCTCCATGGCAGAAGGACGTCACGTGCTTCTCAAGATTGTTCACAGTCTCCACTTTTGTCGCAAATGGCGACAAAGAAAACAAAACAAGGGAAAGCGCAAAGCACCAGTGAGTGGGGTCTGGGGACGGGCGAGCAAGCAACAAATCCAGTCCCCCCACCCCTTAGCGCCGAGCTTTGACACTCGTGTCAGTTCGTGCCTTCGTCAATTAAAATACTAGAAAATAGAGGATTGTAAAGAGTTAAATGAGTTTCAAGATAGGATGAGAAGGGTTTTGCTTTACATTAAATTTTGAGCATTGCCACTACTCCTGGTGTACTAAAGCATCAAGTGTAACCAAATAGCTCAGTACCAAGTGAGAAGGCCCGATTCTGGAGAATTCCCGGGACAGAATTACCGTATTTATTCGAATAAGCGCCCAGCCTCGAATAAGCGCCCACTCTCAAGGCCCAAATATTTAATAAGCGCCCAGGGCGGTTAATCGAATAAATACGGTATCCACTCACTCCACTATAACACCAACAATAGGATGACGGTGTCAAAACTCTGGATCAACGACCTTATGGCGGCTACACCAACGGAATTAATGGGCTTCATGTTGTGATTACAATAGAGAAGCCTCTTACGTGAACAGATCTTGTTTGTCTGTGGCTTTCAGCGCCATGAACATAGCTCCACAGAATCCAATAAAAACGATAAGGAATACCACACTGAAGCGAGTGATGTCTCTGTAAATTATCTTGGCGAGAGTCTTCGTGTAGAGGCCTGTGGTTCTGCCAAAAAAAGTAACAGTTTACTACTTTGAGGAACGTAAATCACAGGACTACCAGGTTAGCAGAACCCTGCTTCCTGTGGCACAAAGCACCAAAAAGTATTACTACAATATGTATTAGTGCGCGTTTGAATCGCTGTTCCAACGAAAATTACCTGGAAACACAGGAGAACTTGAAGAGCCTGAGAAAATTGAACAAGTAGCCGAGTCCAGCGAGACTCCATTGAGACTGGACTTCAGCAAACCGTAGAGGAATGACAAGGAACATCAAGACAAGCCCCAGCCAATCAAAATAGTTGTAGGGATCCCTGAAATAAGAGTTCCATTCCCTGGACAAAGGAAACACAAAAGTAAACCAATACTGTCGTCAGCTAAGCGTGTCTCCATCGCGTAGTGTGCCCTGAACAAAAGTCAGGTTAACACTTGCGCCAATTACAACAAAAGTCTCGTTATTAGAGAGGTCCCTAGAAGTCATCTTGTCTTTGCCACTTTATTATGAAGAGTAAAGTTTTAAATCGTTTGTCCCTTAGAAAAGCGGAAAGGACAGGGCACAATAAACGTGATGACGGCTTTTTACGTTTCATCCTTCCTACCAAAACTGAAGAAAATGTGCGGTCGAACCTCCAGTAAGTAGTCACCCTCCGGGCCCGGAAAAAGTGTTCGCTTAGAGGAGGTGTCCCCCCGCCCCCCTTAAGGGGGGTTAGAATTAAGTGCTTATAGTGGCTGGAACCATAAACATGTGTGCACTTATGACGGGTGTCCGCTTGGGGGATACAAATAAAGTCGCAGTGTTTGTAAGTGGTTGGGAACATGAGCAAGTGTCGTCCGTTTCAGGGAGGTGTCCACCGCCCATCTGAGGTGTCCATGAAGTTCGACTGTAATTTAATAATCTTTCTCTTCAATTTTTATTTTTCAACATATTAATATAGTTTAATGCTTTCGTGATTTGGAATCGAAAGTGGGGGTAAGGTTACAATTTTGAGAACTCACCGTTCCGCTTGATTGACTTCCTCGAAAAAGTAGAACATTAGAAAAATGATGGTGAGAATTTCGCAAAACAGTCGAAGACCGTCTGCTTTTCCACTGTATTGAGTTGGATCTTCTCTTGTTGAGCCGTAAATAAGCGCGTACGACAACACTAGTAGAAACAGTAGGTAGAAAGCCGCCTGAACGCTGCAACGGAAACAAATAGGAAAGTATTACCTTGTTCCAAGCTCAATCTTGCCACCTTAGCCCAATGACTTTAAGAACATGGTGAGAACAGTAAGAAGAAGGGAAGTGTAACCTGGGAAAACAACCGACATTTCGTAAGCCCACCACTAGTTTCCAAACAAAATGAGCCCAGGGACGAGCGGAGAAATTCCATACTGATGACGTGTCACAACCAAGATCTGAGTAGTGCTTTTGATTGGCTGAAGCAAATTTCCCTCGCGGCACGACCAATCAGAAGCACTGCTCTGATCTGAGTAATGACACGTCATCAGCATGGAATTTCTGCGCATGTTTCTAAGACGACATTTCGCTGAGAAACGAGTGGTGGCGTCGCAAAATGTCGGCTGTTTCAGGTTCAGGCTAAGGGTAGCGCTGAGGAACAGCTTTACGACAACTGACAACAGAATTGTAGTGGACTACACTTTTTTGACCATAAGCTATGATAGCTCTTGTCTTTGCTGCCTTGTTATTGGGCAAAACAATGTTGATGAAATGCTGAACACCAGCAAAACTAACCAAAACCACCAATGTCCAAATTTGTTCCATTTCCTCATGACCAACATTCTTACTACAGGGTGTTGAATGGCCTCCTAGCGGTACAAAGCAAAAAGATCAAAGGTTAACATTGAAATCTTAAACCAAACATCAACGCAAGTGTGATGGTCAAAATAAAAGGGATAAATTAAGGAAAAAAACATTTTCAAAAACCAGCATAGATACGGCAATCAGCGACCTCAATTGGTACTCAGATATGACCAAGTTCTCCCTTTACTTTTTATTTCCCGTTTTTTAAATCTACACAAACATGAAAAAAAAATTTCTTTCCGGTCTCCTTCAAAAAGAATTAGTTTTGGACGGTTTTTATATCCTCATTTCTCCTTAATTTGTGAAACTGTTAACTTGAATCCGACTTTTGTCGTTTGAGGTGAGCCTGATTCCAAATATTTCTATGATAATAAGAATATTATGACGTTCTTTTGCAAAAAGTTGCTAAAATAAAATTCTGACGCCTTTTTCAAAGATGGATTTTTTTACACCCCCAATAAGATAAAATGATTTTCGAGAAAACAACCATAAGGTACGGTGGTAACCTACTATCAGTTACATCATAAGCCCCTATTAGCGAATATATTTCTGAAGTTACACTTTCCTAAAATAACCTTCATTATTTTTCATTTGCCATAGAATGTGCCTCTTGGGTCAAAACACTATCTTTTTGAATTTCACCACGTTTGAAATCGGTTTAACATGAAAAATCACAGTACAGCATGTGCCAACAATTAGTCGCTTGATTCTGCTGCCTTGGCCAATTCTTATCGAATGTAAAGAGAATAAAGGGTATAAACACCTCTAAGTGTCTTCAAATAAATTACAACACTTCATTTAGGCGAAGATGACTATAACTAATGAAAGTGCTACTAAACAAACACAACAGCTCTATCATAAATTGAGTTCATTTACGGGACGAATACGAGACGGGACACGGGACACGGGACACGGGACACGCAGAGTAAAATAAACTACCAAATAAACTTTTCAATTGCTGGAAACGTTTCCTTGACTAAATCCGCCCAGTATATAGTACATTCCTCGACATGTAAAGACAGAAAAGTCAGTTTAAGACCTTCTAAATCAATTAAATTATAATTGAAATTTCACTTCCTCTCGGAAGCAAACGATCAAACCTATCAACAATCAATCTCTTTGGTTTCGAAAGTAACTTGATTGAGATACTCTTACTATGCAGTACATTAAATCAATGAGAGACAATATCAACTGCCTCCGTAGCTTAGCGGTAAGAGCGCTGGTCTTTTAAACCAGTGATCGAGGGTTCGAATCCCTCCGGAGGCATGTCGTCATTTTTGATAAATTTCTGTCTTATAATTCATGGAAAATCTACCATTAAATACCAACATACTTGTCACACTGCTTAGATGCTTATTAGCTTTTATTTTCAGCCTGTCACCAAATTCATTCACTGTGCAGCGTAACATTAAGGTCAGGGAAAGTTTCCACCACGTCAAGATGGAATCCTGAACGTGTGACCATTCATATGAGAGCTAATGAGTATACCTTCCTGTGCTACTGATTACTGTCAAGAATACACACATTCAAGGTGACTCTTAATTTTAAGTCTGTGGATGAAATCCGAAAATTTGACCATTCTAAGGTTAGCCTATTTTTTAAATGGCATAGAGCACCATGTGTAACCACGTCTTATCATGAAAGCCGCAAGATAAAACCACACCACTACATTGCCAGCTGGAACTTGGGTGTCCTGCACTGAGAAGTACTTACAGTCCGTGCATTAAACTTGTTTAACAAATCAAAATAGATTCAGACAGTGCTGTGTGTTGAAATGCAACATTTTCCTGATTTATTGCCTCTGCGCAGGCTTTATAACGAGAAGCCAGCCTCATTTACTTTGCACTAATTAATCTTTTCTCTACTAATACATAAAGGAAACTGTGCATAAAATTCCTTCCAATAACCAAATGACATCTTAAAAATGACGGCGTTAAAAAAATTTTATTTTACATTCTTCGCGCTGACAAATTTCAAATAAAAAAGCTACGTATACAGAGTTTCTTTCAGTCTTAAAATATATCTGATACATGACTGCTATTATACTTAAAAATTACAAACCGTCTTTAAAATTCCCTAGATAACGTCTATTTAAATTTTTCTTCTTTTTCCCGCGTTGTGTCATTATCTCCAATTCAAGCATTCTATTTACAAATACTGCTCAAAACGATACTCGTTGAACTTCTGAACATCAAGAGAGGATCCTCTTATTTCAGCCACAGACATCATAATTTTATACATTTCCATATGATTTCTTCCCAGCAAAAAAACATTAACTTGATCAGTTTCCTCTGATTGAGACCGGTGGTGATTCCTCCACATAGCACATCTCTTGTTCCTAATCTCGCGCATCAGTCTTTCTCGTTTTGTCTGGACGGAGCTTTTCGTTAATGTTGTTTAAAAATCGACGAAAGAGAGAAGCCTAAGATGTACAGACAGACAAACACGATTCATAACAAACACAAAACACACAAAAACATCAATTCCTAACAATTTTTCGGGTAACGTGAGAACCAGACAAAAAGCAAACGTCAAGGCCCTTCCCAGGCTACGTTCACAGGGTACCGACCGGTTGAAGAGTTTCCAAGCAAAGCGATTAATGACACGACTCGTAAATCCACGCTCACAGTATCCGTTTGAAATTGTTTTCTCTTTTTCCAGCTAAGTAGCCAGCATCCATGCAGCCACGCCTTTGCCACGCCTTTGCCGTGCAAAAATTGAGCCTGTCATGGTGTTCGCACCTTAAGCCGTTCAATTTTTCGACCTTACCGGTCGAAATTTTGACCTCCATTTTAGCGTTCCAATTTTTGAACAGCTAGGCGTTTAAATTTTCGTACAGTTAGTGTGAAAATTCGACCGGTACCTTGTGAGTGTAGCCTCAATCTTCTCACCTGTACATACGCTAGCAATGTGCAATCGAAGCACCACCCCTCCCCCCTCCCCCTCTCCCCTTACCCGTGGAGAAATTACTTTGCCGGCGTCACGTGACAAACGCCTGCTTTCCACATGATCACCACGTTCAAAAGGAAGAAAAAAGAGGAATTTTTTATAGGCGCGCAAGAACGCTAGGCTGCATGATCGCTACGACTTGACAACGGCGACACGAGTGAAACTGGCTTCGCGTCCTTTCAAACTTTTTCTCGATAATTCCAACTCGTTCAGTCTTTAAAAAAAGATGCAACATTAAGCTAGGGTTGAAGAGAGAAGGCCACGTCCGAGATCAAAGAGATATAGTAGAATTTTTTCACCTTGTTGGGAGCAGAAGTTGACAAAAAGCGTGATGCACGTGCAGAGAGTTGTTGTTTTGCTCATTAATCCTATTCAATAGGTTTAATGAGAAAAACAATAACTCTGCACGTGCATCACGCTTTCTTGCAACCTTACTGGGATCGTGCAGAGATCGTCAAAAAAGCGGTCTCATTAACGTTGTCCTCGTAGTTTCGTAACGTGCCTAGTACAGCTCCTCAACGACCGTAACTATCGCACCGTTTTTTGTCGAAGAAAGTAGAAACCATGTGAAAAGCAGGCTCCAGAATAAGCATTTTATGAGTGCACAGCGTCTAGTTTCACACGACACTCAAAATACCCCGCACCTTATCATCACTCTCGGCAATGCGGCGAAGACAAGACATGGATTTCTTGTTAAAAAGCTCATTCAAGGTTTGCTCATCAATTTTTGGTTGTCTCCCTTCTTCATCAGCATCCAAAATATGATAGAAGAAATCATAGTTCATTGGGTCATCAGGGACACTACTCCATGCTCGTTCAATGCGATCACTGTTGTCTCCTAGCTCTCGACTTTTCTCTGGTAAGTAGGGCCAGTGTGGGTTGACAAGTCGATCCAACACTGCTACCACTGTTTTCTAGTGGACAAAAACACATTTAAGACTGAATAACTGAGTTATTTATCGCGCGCTTGTCGGGGAAGAGCTTAGTCTACTAGAGTCCTCACGCTGTAAAAGTTCGATTGGTTCTTTGAAAAATATTTTTTTAAAAATGATACATGGCAGCAGAGAAGCGAATTTTTTTTTATAAATGCCTATCAACCGTCTTAAGCCGTGAACGGTTCAACGAACGCTGTTTGCTTTCGAATTTTGTAGGATAGTAATTTCCGGTTGTTTGTGAAGGAAATACTGCCGTAAGACTATTACTATCTCGATTAAATAGCAGTTTATTTTTTATCATTATTCACTGACACTGACTCCAAGAATTTTCACTAAGAATATTGTTTAAAAGTGCATGAACTTTACCCGTTTTCTGCAAGGCCACCATCTAGGCCACAAATGCATTTCATGGGCTGTACAGTAACTCACATTATCAGTAAAAATTACTGAACATTGTGTTAACCTCAAAAGTAGTACAATAATCAAAGTCCTACCTAAATTTAGGCACCCATTTATATAATAATTATACAAAAGTTGTCCTGGGAAAGAGAAAAGTCAACTTGAGCAAGCGTTTATATTCACGAAAATGGTTCACCAAGTTTAGTAGGGAACTGTAGGAAACGTTGGCTCGCCCAGGGTAGCTTGAGTAGACAATTGGCCCTCCTTAAGCCACCCAGGGCCCGGAGGGGGAATACTCCCTTACATAAGCGATAGGGGTATTTTCCGCCCCATCGGGTATGGTTTTTGCACCGTGCTGGTCTGAAAACGGGTATACACTTTGCCCATTTTGGTCTGGAATCGGGTATGGTTTTTGAGGGAACTACGAGAGTGTATGAACGTATTTTTCATGTCAATTCCAAATACGAAAAAAAGAGAAATATGCGAATTCGAAATCCATTTGAAGAATTTTTTTGTTTGTGCACTAATCTAAGGGCCTGTTTATATAGAGGTGGGGGACCCCAGATAGGTGAGGTAACATGTGGCAGGTCACCCCACCTATCATGTAAACCCGATCAAATCAAAATGATAGATTATATGGACAGGTGGGTTACCCCACCTAAGAGGGTTACCTCACCTACCTGGGGTCCCCCACCTCAATGTAAACAGGCCCTAAGTAATGATAACATAATTTCTGCCTAAAGGCCAGGTCTGAAAATGGTTATGGATTTTAGAGGTCTGGTCTGAAACCGAGTATGGAAAATGACATTTTTTGGTCTGAAATAGGGTCAGGATTTGTAGAACCAGGTGGCACACTCCCACCAAGAATTCCCAGGAGTACCCCCTGGGCCTAGGGTAAGTTTTCTCGATTTCAAGGAGGCTTTATAGCGCTCAGTTCCTAGTGGATAGAATAAATAGATATTCATTTATACATGTACATTTAATACAGTCAATTGGATCAGTCGAACCGTAGACTTCATGTACATTTAATACATGTATTTAATACCAGCATATATCTCACCTTCATGTCATATTGATTTGTTACAGAATTTTTATGACTGATGAAGTGTCCAAAACTAAACTTTGATTTCTTCAACTCATCATTGTACAAGAACAGCTCATGAACCCTGGTAGGAAAAATAAAATAATCAACATCATGGAGGCATTGTGGCCGAGCAGTCAGCGTGCTGGACTTGTAATCCAGAGGTCCAGGGTTCAAGTGTCACACTGACCGCTAGCTGGATTTGTTCTTGGTATTCCTGTGTTCAAATCCTCGACCACGCTTGTAAATAGCTAACTGTTTCACCTTCTACTAAATACCACTCTTATCCTTGTTATGATCCACTTGAGGTATTTGTTATCCCTGAAAAGCCCAGCGAGGGGGAGGATGATTATTTATTTTATAAGTACTGAGATTTATCCACACAGATGACAGTGTTGAAAAAATCATTCTGTTTTTAGTCGCAGCCAATCAGCCACGTGAACGATGAAATTTCACTAGTGAAAAATCATTGTTTGCGGCGTCTGATTGGACGAACAATGTTTTTCACTCGCGAAAAGAGATCATACGGCAAGCCACGTCATCCTTGGCGCGAAAACTGGCAAGCTGCCTTTTTATTTTCAAGATGTCGGAAAGGTTTGTGGACGTCTGTTCAGTTGATAATTTTATTGCAGAACAAGAAAACAAAGCCACATTACAAAAAACACAACGGGATGTAAAACTTTTGCAAGCCTTTTTAAGGAACCAGGAATGAACTTAGAAAAGTTGAAGAAATTCCAGCATTGGAGTTAAACAAATACATCTGCAAGTTTATCATTTTGGTCAGAACCAAAGTTGGGAAAGACTATCAGCCTTCTTCGCTCCGAAGTCTATTGGCAAGTTTTGAATGACATCTACAAAAGAACAGCTACTCTGCCAGTGTCATGAATGACCTCATATTTGAGCAAGTAAGACTAATAAGCAAAAATTATTTGCAGAATGTTAAACACATTCTGAGAATGGCAATCCTGATTGTCCATTTAGAAACCTTCCATTTCTATCACAAAGGAAGCTTGAAACTAATAATTAATGATAATTATTTAATTATTAAAATTCATAACACGCCTTTTCCATGCAAATATGACAAAAAGTGCATATCAGAAACGCTGATCATAGTAGCAGTTTTCACCTACCAGTCATGTTTCATTTGTGATATAAGATATGCCGCTGTTTCATCTTGGTATGACAAGAGAGCCTTTTCCACAGGCAAATAAGCCCTCTCTCCAGAAACTTCCTCAGTTTCCAAATATAAAAGTGAGGGATATGTTTCTGTGAGTAATTTTGCCACATGCAGGAAATTCCGCTCTGCAGCAAGATGGAGTAGCGTTGGACGAGCAGGGTCTTCTTCAACTCGGAAATACTTGTACTCTTCATCATTGTCCTGTTCTAAAATGATTTCTGTGAATCGACTTATCTGCAAAACAAATTAACACAGTACTATAATGGTAGTGTCAGTCAACGCTAAAAAGAAACAGGAAGTTTTTGCATCTAAATGACACTACTTAAGTTTTCAAATAGGGGCAGCGGAAATTAAAGAAAAGTACAACTAACAGTGGCTACGCCCCACACTATCAGATGGGATGCTACTAACCCATGTATAGCCATATCTGTGGGAGAGCAGGGTGGAGGGGTAGCAATGCACTTAGACTACTAGTCTAGCAAAGGATAAACTGGTCTATGTACATTATGGGTAGTCATATTGAAAACTCCCTGAATGGGAATTGAAGCTCACCCATCACATGGTAAACTTATTGACATACTACAGGGTGACCTTGAGGGGAGCAATGTTTAAATGTTGTCTATAAAGGGCATACCATGTATACCTCTGGACATGGTAATTATTAAAGGTGTTTGGCCTATCTGTTCTGAACAGACTTCATGATTTTGTGTCAGTGCACTTGATCATCTTAACATAATCTTACATATCATAATACCTAAGGAATTTAACAAAGGGATAAAGAATGGTCTACTAAGAAATGATGAGATCGGAAAATATTAAAAGAGTCTCAAAGCCTTGCAGTTTAAAGTCAGGTGTCTGGCAGAAGAGATGAGATGACTAAAATTTTACAAACTCTCAAATATTATATACCCCTTATTTATTTATGTACAGTAAGTGGAGAAAGATAACATGGAGTAATGTTTCTTTTCTATTTGAAACTACTTCATTGCAACCATCAACAGGGTTTCAAAGCTGACATCCAGATGCAAAATGTGAAGTGTTTTAAAACCACTATGTAAATCAAGATGTCTTAGCATACTCACCAAGTATTCTAAGCTGACAACTAGCTCTGGTTTTCCTTTGTACTTCTCACTGTTAGGCCATTCACGAATCAAAATCAGAATAGTGTCTTTGCCATGCTTTGCTAACAGTCGGTCTGTCCTAACTTCATCCATTGCTCTGTTCCATGATACCTTTTTGGCATCAAACTTTTCTTGTACCTTTAATTTACAAGGCTATATTTAATTTTTGAACAAATACAGGGGGGTCTGTTCCTTTTTTGTCTGATTAAAGATTTTAACATTAAGACAAAACTAGCCGCAAGTTAATAAATCCCAAGAACCAAATTTTAATCCCAAGTACATTCAATTTAATATTCTCTATAAGCAGGCGCTTATCTAGGATAAATACTGACTGATTTCCTAAATGAGCGTCAAAGGTGCAAGCTTCTAGGGGGTCGGGGACATGATCCCCTTTAATTTTTATTTATTTTAACTCCCTAAAGTCCCCTTTCCTGGGTTTCTGAGTCATTCACACAGAATGTTAGCCAGTTCCATTCTCCTTGGATGAAGTCTTGCAAATCGGCAGATTATTTCATCTCTTGATTTCAACTTGAAAAGTTTTTTATTATTGATAATAATATATTTATTGCAACAGATCTGACCAATTTCCATAAAATGGTGGAAACCGGTATGGATCTGTGCCTGGTAAGATATATGAGCTTTATTGCCGAAACGCAGAATCGCATGAAACACAGTTTGACATTGCTCTTGGAAATCATGCATTGCGCGTGCAACCTACAGATCAGTCAGTAATCTGCTAGCAGATAACTAATCAACTAATCTGAAGGTTGCACTGATTTCCAAAATGAACTGTATGCTCTTAACCAATGAGAAAACAGATAGTGAGTACAATGTATAATAATAGAGTATAGTATACCGTAGAATACCTTTTACTTTAATGTGTAGGTTAATTTTGAATATATGATCACTACAGGGGTACCCCAGGGGAACCCCCTGTATGAAAATGAAAATAAAATAGTAGAATCGGTCAGATTCGAAAAGTTACCCAGGAAGGGGCAGTAATATTATTAGCCTGATGTTGAGCAGTTTTGTTTGAATGATCAATATTAACTAGTGTTCCAGAGTAACAGCGTTAGAGAAGTGGCTAAATAGGAGTAAATATTTGATAAAGCACGACCATATGCCGAATGAATGATAGTTGACATAACATACATGAAAGCAACTGCAACTCAGTACAAAATGTATAGTCTCACGTCTGTAGCGAAAAAGGGACAAAATCTGAAATTACCAAGACTAGGGAATGAAAATTTCATTTATACAGTTATACACGATCACAGGCTACCGTACGTTGCATTCTAGATTCTTCAAAATATGTAACGATATGGTTAACGTAGCCTTATATCTGCTAACTATTTGAATTCGAAGTATTACTACAGGGCCCTCAAATCAACTTAGTGTAAGAGTTGCATCCTCATCTAAGCAGTAGATATAAATATATAAGTAAGAATAATGCACTAGTTAAAATAAAACGAGGTCAACTTTTATGGATCAAGACAATGGAGCGTGGAAATATTTGCATTCGAATGATAACAAACATCTTACCTTTAACCAAAATTCTTCATCAAATGGCTCTTCCAGTTCGTGTACTTCTCCTGCCCTTGATTTCCTCTCTTCCATTTGGACGGTTGTGTATTTATTATCTGCCTTCGTCATGTTGAGAAGCTAAATTTATAGGAAATCTAGGGTTGATTATTCCGCCATAACGCTTTCTACACCCTGTCACAAGCCGCTCGTTTGACAAACCTCCCTGTTATTTGATTGGTTGCAGGGCTAAAACCGGAAGTACTATCACAACATCCGGTAAGCCCTCAAAAAGAATTAGCTTTATACACAGTTACCCAATAAGGAAGCGGCAAAAACGTCAAAAATCCGCTTTCCCCGCAAAATCCGATTTTACCTTAAAAAGGTCAGAGAAATGAGTCTAACTTTCATTACGAACCTAACAAAACGTGACAAAACTGTTTTGAAGCCTTTATTGCAAGCCTGATCTTCGATTTGAACTTGTTTGTACACAATTCCAGAAATCTCAAATACAACTTGACCAGGACTATATCTTTGAAAAAACACGCGTGAATTTCTACTAACAAAACTACTCGGTTAGCATAAATAAATCAAAATATTTTCTGAAAAATCTAGGCAACGTATTTCAATTTTTTAGTTCAAGAAGAACAAAATATTTCCGCCGATATTACTGAAATTAAACATCGAATTGTATAATATTCACGAGAGCCCTACAAATATATGTTGTAAACTAAAAAATATACCCAACAGTCACTTGACAGTGTATTAAATATCAGTGAACAAACAATGTTTCCCAGATCAGTTCTATCCAGATCCGTTGACCGCCGTAAGAGCCGCACAAAATGTCCACAACGTTTTATCGATTTCAGTAGAATTCTGCCTACTTTGTGCCTTTAATCGCTGCAACAAGAGCATTCATTTTGTCCGATCTCTCGAAATCTTGCGGTCGCAAATTCACCACATCCTTAAACCCAAAGTGGAAATCCCTTGCATCCAAAGATCCTTTTTGTAAGCCTTGAGGAGGCCATTCCGAAGATAAATTCTCTCCGAAAGAAACACTAAACACCTTTCCGTGAAGATGGCCATTTTCATCAGCGAATCGTTTGTCACGAACAATCTTTTCAAGCTGGGTGATGGCTTCGGATGTTAAACAGATGAGAACAACGTTATTTAATTCTTCCAACCAAGGCAGACTTTTCGCAAATCCACTTCCATCAGTAACGTTTACGAAATCCGTCACACGAATGCTTCCATTGGCCTTGCTTGTTAGAGCATCGCGAAAATTCCTCACAACTTTTACTTGCTCCGCATCTGATTTGTGTAGAAGTAAGATTTTCTTCGTGTCGTTCAAGGTTTTCCCTTGAGTTGATGTCGCGCTTGAATGTGGTATCGCCTTTTTCTGATGTTTTTTCTTTGCCGACTCTGCGTTTCCCATTCCTGAGATCTGCCGGAAAAAAAGTTTCTGTCAGATCTTTGAATTTTCCTTCGCATATCTGACCTACTGCTCTTAAAGGAGACCTGCAAAGACGCAGTAGCAAAAAAGATGACGGCTCATTATGCATGATAATATGCAAAAATTACCAAAAACGACGCTCGGTTTATTATTTGACGTTTAAAAGGCAAAACCCCCCGAAACACCTGCTCGCACCATGAATAAATAAATCATGGAACTCACTGTGACGTTAAATGGTAACGTACTCACGCAAAGAATTTTGTCTACACGCAAAGTTAACATCAAAATCAATTTGATCACTCTAGAATTTTTCTAATTTATGTAATGTTAGCTGATGAATCCCCTTTCTGTAATTTTTGGACCACTGGTGTAAGCAGACTAAGCAGGCATATTGATAAGATGTATTTTCAATTTTTTTAAGTTATACAAAAAAATCCTCTTCTTTTTTCCAGTTTTCATGCAGAAGCTATTCCGTCTTAAAGAAAACTGCGTCTTTTAAATACCGGTACGTGATAAAATAAAAAAGAATTAAAACTCTGTAATTCGGTCTTAGAGCAAAGTAATGCCTATAATTCTCAAGTTATCCTTGCATCTCTGCCCAGTTCATCACAAGCTAACTACCAAACACTGAAAAGGAGCAGTTGTGATTGCCTTCTATAACGTTCTTTCGTTGACCAATTTCACTCCAGGCCAAACTCTTAAGAATCAGAAGTAAATGAGTCAAAACGACAGTGTCATACACGAATCAACTATGTATAACATAGGCGTGTAATTTAGACAATTATGATGACAGATCTCGAGGTCTCCCTTCTGGAGGAAAATTCAGTGCAAGGTCCATGTCAAACGGCGACTCAAATCAGGAACTGTCTCCAGCTTCTTTAATAGCAGAGACGTTTCAGGACCTCCTTATATTTGTAAGTAAAATGTCCGACAGATATGACCTTCGACAGTTCCTGCCTTCGCTGTTAGAATTCGATCCGATCAATTTTCATCAGACGCGTTTTCGGGTTACAAGGCTCTTACGAAAGCTTAATAGGTCAACTAATCATCTTACACCAGAAGCAAAATTCGGTAATAGCCGAGTAAAAAAGAGCCCCATTTTTCCTGTGGAAATAATTGATGAAGATTTCTGTAGGTTTTCTTCTCTAGTGAATAAGTCTAGGGTATAACAATTCCTGTCATATATATAGGGCCAACGTGAGAAGGGACGAAACTACTCAAAAAGTTAATTATAATACTAATTCCTGTAATGCAATGCGTGACGTTTTAAATAGCTTTTCTTCCTTTGGTTGGGATAAACATCACGCAACATGTCTTGATGAAATCGATTTTTACCTTAAAAGCACAAAAATTGTTTTATCGCCACGAGAATGATGAGGTATGCTCCGTTTTACAGATTACTTACAGGTAACATAGTGAAACAAAACCAGACACTTATTTGAATCGTCTTTACCTGGCAACAGGAGAGCGTGACGTCAGAAGACATGCCCAAAGAATGTTCCGGAAGACAGCTTAAGTTTTATGCAACTCAAGCAGATTTCCAAAATTTGAGAAAACCGTTTGTAAAAATTGGCATTTTTCTATTGATGGTCTCTTGTATTGGCGAGGATTGGCGCCGATTTGAGCATACGAGAAGAAGACGCAGCCATTGTGAGCATTTAAAAGACAATCACTGGAGCAAATTAACATAATGTAGAATCAAAAGCGAAATAATTAAGCAGGTAAAATATCTTTGTATAACACCACGATTTGGTATAAGTCGAAGGAGTTCGAATTACTGATTTAGTTACCAATGCATAAATTAGGTAAAGTAAACTCTCCATTCCCAAACGAACTCAACTAAACGGGCATCAAGCTTTTCAAATGCAAATGGCTTTAAATCGCACCTAATCACATGAACAAGAGCATCAAGAGATCATTTCCAGCAGTTTTACTTACCAAATAATGAAAACAGCGATCGAAAACAGTGCTCAGGAAATACCCCTTAAAATAGAGCTTGCTTCAAACTTGGTATTCACAGGGAAAAACAAGGCATTCGTTGTTAAACCAACTTGAGGCGTCCCGATGATGTTGTAAAGGAATGCTGTTTATTGATCACTGATTATTAATAACTTGACACGTCACTTTGGATTTATTGTTTAAACAGAAAACACCGTGACAAGGGAGTCGTCTTGCGTTACTTTCGCTATAGCGGGCGGCAAGCACGTCCGTAGCGGGGTAGTTCCTTATTTCCACTTGTCCTGAATCTCCCTCAGCAAGTAAATCTTCTCGACCCACTATAATTTCAACATGCATAGCAAAAACTTTTTTTGTAACCTCCTTTCGTGTTTTTTCCTGGTTCAGCTTATTAATTTTTAAGTGAAAGATAATTAAATAACATCATGTGGGTGCGGTCGGGCAGAACTAAAACGACCGCGCGCGAATTTAATCATTTTCTGGAATAAAATATTAGTAACTTACTATCATCGAAATAAACTGGGTTAAATCGCAATAAAAGGAAATGAGGGTTCCCAAGATGATTTGAAAACACAATTTATTGATCCATTCCTCAAGCAGTCGCGCAGGAGATCCAGTCCAGTGATCCAATTTTCCACAACAGCAAGATGCCCTAGATAAAAAATTTTCAACCACATGATCAACATTGTTTTGTTGCTCACTATGAAAATCTCCTTTTTGTTTTTTATCATATCCCATCCAAATCCTTGAACAACAGTTTTGGTCAGTACATTCGAAACCATTCTCTCTTGACGAAACAGAATTTTTTTGTGTGAAAAAGAAATACAGATGTCGGTTTTGCATGTTCGTTTGGTTTGCAGTTTCATTTGTTTTGATGTAGTGTCGCCTTTCACCGTTGTCCCACCCTCTCTCACGCAACGCAAGATGGGGAGCTTTTATGCCACGCAAGAAACAGGGGGGCTAAAACTGAAATACGATTTTCTGAGATCGAGCTTGAGATGAGAATGGTGACCATGGCAACCAGAACAATGTGTATTTGTTGCTAACATATGACTGAATAAGGGTTTTCTATAAGGCTATCTAGGAAAGGAGGACAGAAGAGGGAAGATTGGGAATTTATTTCAGAAGTGATCTCACATCTCATAGTATTTGCCTCTGGGCTTCCTGTGCTAAGTTCTTAAATGGAAAGAAAAGTTCCCGGATGTTAGCCCGGTCATGACGTGTTGTAATGGCGTGTTGACTCGAGTTTATCTCTTTGTTGAATCCGCATATTTTTTCCTCCATCATGGGTACCCAAGGGAATCCAACAATTTAGGAAACTGAACTAATTTAAATGCCTTACAAACAAGGCCAGGAAGGACTCGCTGAGACTAGAGAAATGACAATGAAATGTAACAGGGAGATCTTGGGTTCAACCCCTGTGATCTATTTAGCACACTGGGTCTTAAAATTA